TAGTTTGTTTATTAAGTTCCAAACTCATTTCTAATTAGCGTGTGAATTCTTACTCTTAGATATTTCAAATGTACCTCAAACACAAAAAAATAATAAATATCATGACTCCCTCCCCTAAACTCTAAACTTATATTACTTCCATATTCCATATTCTCTTTATGGTATCACAGTCAACCATACAACTCAGGTTGTGTAAGCCTCACTGTCAGAACATGTGATCTAGTACATTGTTGGGAATCAAGTATTAGGTTTCTTTTTTAATTATAATCTGTAAGCACATCATTTCCTATTATTTCCATTAATAGGAAATACCATTTCTATTTTTTAAACAATTCTACCTGTATATCCTTAAAAAAACCATATGGTTCCAGGAACATAAAAAATTAATAGTCTCAGCAGCACCTGAGTTACATGTTGACTGCATCTTTTCTTAGCTATCTAAGCATCACTATAAACAGTCTTCTGTGCATAAATTGATTTGAGGTGTGCCCATGGGTAAGTTGCTATTGCTCAATTCACTAGTGTAAGATATATATACATTTTTATTTAGAGAACTAACCCTATATTTCCTTCTAGAAAAGTTATACCAATTTTACTACCAATAATATATAGTTTATTAGAGTGATTATTTCTTCTAATTCAAACCAGCACTTTGCTTCATTAAACTTTAACGTCCATTTTAATCATTATATAAACATTCACTTCTTTTAAAAAATATTTTTTTTAATTTTTGCATAGAACCGGAGTCATCTAAAAAGTATTGGGATATAAGCAGTGTGTGGTGCCAAATGTAATGGGAGCTGCCCAGTTCTGAACCTCCCAGTATAAACAATGTAAAATTCCTATATAAACTTCCAAAAAACAATCCAGTACAAAAAGAAAAGTAAAACCCACACCATCAGCATAACTAGAAGGCAGAGAATGCCTAAATTTCAAAATACCTGTTAAAAAAAAATAAAGTAAAACCAAATCCACTTGCACTGCCTCTCATGCTCTAAAGGCATTATGGGAAAATGGGGTATAAATTTGTTTTAAAATGATGGACTGAAATTGTGCTCACCCTAATGATGAAAATACTAGAAAAAAAGGTATTTTCCATATACCCCCTGTAGCAATTATTTTGGTTTTTTTTTTTTACTCTGCTTTGATATTACTAAGTTTTTATGTGGATTCTATATTATACTATTATGCTTAGTGATAGCAAAAGCTCAGCCTGAAAGAAATGAAACTGATATATTAAAACTCACCTCTTGGTAACCTTAAATCTTGATATTGAGAGAAAGATAAGATAAGGGGAAGAAGATCGGGAGAGAAGACTAAGTTGCAGACAAGATTACAACCAACACCATATGAGAACTAGTTCAGTGGGCATCAACAATACCAACAGAAATGGACAGAACCCGGGACATTGGTTCCATTGCTACTATTGCTCTCAGAAGTTGCTTTTAAAGCTTCTGTCTCCCTTGCAAAAATGAGCTCTTTACTTCCTTTCTTATTTTGTATAATTAAACCCAGGTTTAAAATCTTGAACTAGTACATTTGATTGGCTTTGCCAAGATTAGGTGGTAACTTCTTGGATGAACCTGAGATCTTAGGAAGGTCATTATTTCCATCATCCGGTGCTTTCCACTTCTACTTCAGGAGGTCTCCTGCTACATAAACATAATTTAGATAATTACAAATTTTATAAAGAGCACCGATATGCTTGAAACTACCTTCTTCCCTCCAAATTAATGTTTATTATACTTGTTCACCTTCAATTTTACAAAGTTTTTGTCTTGACAACCTTTACATAAAGAAAATTTCTAGACAATTCCACTTGACATCAACTGCTCAGTGGTGCAGGTTAGCAGTTAAGTTATCTCAGTAAGCCCAGTGGGTTTTTGATATCTCTAAAATGGCCATACTGAGGTATCAGAATTGTTTATATGTTTTGAAAATATTTATAACTTATAAGAACTTTTATGGAATAGTTTAAAGATACCTAAGTTTACATTTAGACACACCTTGGTTAGCAGCTATTTCTACAACTCTGCTCTCTATTCAACAATGGAGAAGTCTTAAAACTCACAAATCTGTTTCCTAATTTGTAAAATGATAAACACAAGGATGGTAGTAAGAACATGAGCTGATAGAGTTATAAATATCCAATCCAGCACCTCATTAAATGTAGTCACTCACTAAGTGAGATAATAATTATAATTACCATAATTATTATGATAAATATTGATTCATACTCAGATGCTCAAAATTTGTTTTAAGGAAAAATTATTTTTTCTGAAGAATGTTCCTCTATACTGATGCTTGTTCTAATACTTTCCATTGATATCAGAGAAATGACTTGTACTTTTGTCAACAGTATAAAATATTAGTACAACTAGAACTTGTTCGAGCCCAAGCCTGAGTTGTCTTTGATATAATTCTTGCCAAAAACTTACTTTAGCTTTTCAATTTTTTAGAAAGGCAGTCTAATGGACAGATTAACTATTAATCTTTCTGTATTTTTTCACATTTTTACACTGTATTAAGATCACTCACTGGAAAGCATACTATCTGAACCTTTTTTATAAATTCCCCAGAGAAATGCTTTTACTGAATTATGATTTAATGATTAATAATTTACAATCTTCACTCAGCCATCTAGTATTTGGATGTCAGCCAGTTCCATTTGATGAATGTTTGCACTCCTTTGTCATAATATAGACGATAATGCCCACTATCTGTTCATTCACCTAGTCAACAACACAAAGTAGTTTCATTCAATATCAACATCATCACTAAGGAAGTCTTCTGGGATAACCGATGAAATTGGGAGAGAGAATTAACACTGACAAAGTCAGTACTGTGGTCTAAGTTTTCTGTGTGTGGTCTGTTTTATAGCACGTGATATCCCTGGGGGATTTCTAAAGTTTACATTTAAGGAAAGTATAGATCAGACAAAGTTATTGGGGTTTCATAATTAGTAGGTAGCAGAATGAAGAATCAAAAGTTACTGTGCTATGAAGTGACAACAGAAAAAGAAGAACAGGAAGATTATATTTGGACTATGCCATCAGCTGGGCAGGTAAATAGAATTTTGAGGTTTCAATGGAAGGTGTCCAAAAATATTCTCATTAATGGCAGCTTCTTTGCAGCAAGTTTGCAACCTCCCTTTTATCTACTTCTAAGGACAGTATTTTTCTTTCTAAACTTTTTTCATGGGTTTTATTGAAGGACATTATAACATCTAAGTGTTGGATATGTAGCATTAAAAATCAACATCTGTATATACTACATTAAGCTTACCACTCAAGGCCTAATTCTATCCTTCACCAACATTCTTTTATTCTTCACTCACATGTGTTTAATAGTGCTTATTGGCAGTTAGAATGATTCCCTTAAAAAGAAAATGTAAGAAGTACTTTTATTGTAATCTGAAAAGATAAATGTAAAAATAAACTTGGTTTTGTTAATTCAATGAGTCATAGGTTTAGTTTAGTTAATATTTAGCCCAGGCTTTTTTTAGGTGATGTGATATTCCATGAAATTTCAGTCCAAAGATTTAGATTGGAAAGTTCAAAATTATAGTTTGCAGCCATTCAATGTTTGGTTCCAATTAAATCATTCTTCACAACAGTCAACAAGTCCAAGCTTCCTGATTGCTAGCAACAGGGAAGGATGATTGTCCAAATGAACCTGTTCCACTTATCAATACCTATTTAGAAAGTGCTTTATTATCTTGAGCCAAATATGTTCTGATTTCAACTCATTGATCCTAGTTTATAATTTTTAAAAATATAAGTTTAATTTCTCCTCTTCAAGAGAATCATTCAGATACTTGGAAACAATAATATTCTACCTGTGTGTTTTATGTTTCAATTGATAGATCATTGATTCCTTTTCTCGCCCATCATTGATTATTTTACATGAGTCTAATCATCATTGTGATCCTTTTTGAAGACCCTCCAGTCTACATACATACCTTCTATGTGTGATAATGGATTAAAGCAGAATAGAGAAGGACTACCTCCTCCATCTTCCTTCAATACACAAAAGTTATATTAGCTTCCATGGCAGATACAAATCAGTATTGACTTATATGGCAATAACTATTAAGTAAAGCCTTTGGCAGCTTTCTCTGCTACAAAAACATATCCCTCTTCTACTGTACTTGTGTAGGTGGGTTGACTTGGTTGAAATTTCAAAATTTTACATATATTTCTACTATGTTTATGCTATTCAGTTTGACTTATATATTGAAGACATACAAATGTTATCACAATTAAAAATTCATGTTTACTTCCTACTTATTATTTTCCAGTCACTAGAGTAGATATTTATACCAATACTACTGAACCCAAAGGGGAATCTCAATTTTATGACCAACAGGTTTAGGAATATTAACTAATTTGAGACTTCTCAGAACATTATAAACAGAATTTAAGATTTGAGTGTAGATCTATTTCCAAAGTCCATCATTTTATCTGCTTTATATGTTTATACTAGCAAATAGGCAGGAGTCAGTAAGAAGCTATTTGACATATATTCAAGAAACTCCATGTAAGATACACAATTTTCAAAATTATTAAATATTTTAAAAGAAGAATTGAATCAGGGGAAGTAATCGAGCTGTAAGAAAAGCTACAGAAGAATGGGATCCAGTGACAACAGACTGTTTTTGAACAAAAGTCTAAGTGTGAAATTATCAAATTTGGCCTAAAAAGTCTCCAATGGCTTTAAAATATTTAATTATAAGAGAGAAAATGAAAGATATATTTCAGATATAGAAAAAGGATTGACTAGGTGAATAAATGAAGCAAAATGAGCTACTTCATGATTTTACAAATTAAGCCTACTGTTAAGTATAACAAAATGTAGCTTAACAACTTAAATTTCATGAATGTTCTTTGGATGTATGTTTTCAGTTATTGTTCTTTTATTCATATCCTAATGTTTTAATTTGCAGTTTTTCCTTATTTACCACATTTTGTATAGAACTGAAGAAAATGCATTTCTTGCAGGTACAAAATTGGAAATGGCTTCTCCAGAACCTAAGGGCCTTGTGCCTTTTACCAGAGAGTCTCTTGAACTTATTAAGCAGTGTATTGCTAAAAAACACAGTGAGGACCATGAAGAAGATTTAAAGCCAAATATTGACTTGGAAGTTGGAAAAGAGCTTCCATTTGTTTATGGAAATCTTCCTCAAGGAATGGTATCAGAGCCCTTGGAAGATGTGGACCCATACTACAAGAATAAAAAGGTAAGGCTTAGTTGAACTGACTGTGCCTACACTTTTATTTTCTACACTTACAAAAATATAATTGAAATAGTATGGAAAAGGGAATAAATAATAAATATTGAGATAATTTTATCATGTAGAAAACTGGGTCAGAAATTTCACACGTTTGAAATTTTCATCAAAACTGATAGATTAGTTTGTTTAGGATTAGGCTATACTTTAACAACTTACTGAAATTTTTGTTGGTGGGTGGGAACATGTTGGTTGTTTAAAGTTATTGATTTAAAAATAACAATGAAATTTCTATAATAGGTACAACAATTTCAAAAGTTGCTCTTGATAAGCTTACTCATTAGTTAGAATAAAGCCAACCTATATTTTATTTATCATTTTTATTTATTCATACATTCACATCCTATCTTATCCCCAGAATAACTTCAGAAACCTACTAAATATTTGAACAATCTAAGAACAAGCACAATACAACAAAGATAAGAATAATTATGCTCAGAAAAGACAGTTCTTTGTAGACTGAAAATGTTGGAAGCGTTTTCATTAAGGAAAGAGAAATTAAGTTATCGCTTGGTGAACCTTCAAATTTTAAAATGGCAATGGCAAGATCTATGAATGGACAAGACTGATTAATTCTGGAATAGGGAAAATATTGGGTGATGGTAAAGTTAGAACCCTATAGCTGTGTTGTAAGATGTGGGAAATAAGATGAGATAATGGAGAACTCAACATGGAGTCAATGTAGGAGCCAAAAGACTAGTGTGATAAATGCAGTGTTTAAGTGAGATTATTCTGTAGATTTCTAAATTATTTGTACATGGAAGAAATCATATCAGAAAAATGAAATAAGAGAGAATAGCCCAGTTCAGAAATCTCAAGTCCTGGATTATAGAAATGTCTTGAAAAAAAACAGAAATGTAACAAAGCTGAGAAGAAACAGAGGATCTGTAGATTGAAATGCTGATGAAGAATATTGGTGCTACTGTTAGGGGGAAATGATGTCCTGAGCTAATCCCATACAGGCTTTGTGGACCCCACCCCCACTCCAGACTAAAGCCGTGAAGACATTGGGAAAGACAAATCCCGTCACCACCAAAGGGAAGGTGGCTGGGACCTGAGGGTGGAGTTGGGCAGCCAGGTTGGATATAAAAACCAAACACGTGGGCCTTGGGGTGTCTCGCTATCGCTCGCCTCCTGGCTTCAAGACTCCTGGCTTGCAGCCAGCTCTCAGAGTGCCATTTTGGGATTCCAGATCGGCGGATCGGGTGGACTCATTTAAAACTTTGTCTCCCATTTTTCTCCCTGAACTGTACATTTCCTCATTTCCCCTTCCCTTGTAAATAAACCTTTTATTAACCTTTCACGTGTGCCTGCAGTAGAGCATTGATAAGTCCTTTTAAGCGCGGGGGTGAGGAGCCACAGTCAGGCACCCCGTTTTGTATCGGGGTTGCTCTACAACACTATTGACCAAAAAAAAAAAAAATTAAGTAACTATAAAAAATATATATTGGGAAGATAAAGATTAGCTAATGGTGGACAAATGTAATTTGATACTTTTGTAGAACATTATTGATATTTCCAAATGGGTGAAATGGAATTGAATCAGTGTCTCTGGATGGAAGTCAAAGTGATCATTTTGTTAACCACAGAACTCTTTTGAATGCTTTGTAGAAGAGTTTTGGCATTTTGCAGTGTAAATGTATATATCAACAGAGAGACTCTAGTATTTCTGGTAACCTCCCTGGGTATTATATAACATTACTTATAATACACCTGTAAATTCTTGAGAACATTTTAGTGTAAATGTAGCTTCAATCTCAGCTGTGTTCTGCTTCCAGTTTTTGCTATGCTTAAGTCATAACACTTGATAGACATAGTAACCTTAGAGGTAACTTTAGTATAACAGAGTTCAGAATACTGTACACTGAATACTGAGTTCTGTAAACAGATGTGGTAGGCAAATCTAAAGTTGTTATTGAAAATGAAACTAATGATTTTGAAAAATAAAACAAATCCATTATACAAGCATAATGTAGTATAAAAGACTTATTAATGATAAATTATTAAAATTTGAATTATATTGAGTCTATTATGATAAAGATTGCATACAAATAATTCTAAAATTAAACAATTTCAATACTTACTCATTAACTGGAAAGTTATTATATCTGGAATTACTCATTCCTTCATGATGACATGTAGCCTCATCATCTTGCAAATATATCTTATGTGAAGTTTGAGGTTTTCTGAAAAATTCACGCAGAACACATTTTAGAATTTTTTTGATCCTTTTAATTTTATTTGCAGTTTAAATAGGAAGTGGGAAAATAGATACAATACAGGCCCAAATATGAGCAGGTTATATGTTGGATAAGTATTATATTGAAAAAAATGATAGCATAGTTTGAGTTCCATTTAGAACATAAAATATTGATGAATATATATGTATTCACTAATATGTTTGTATAGATGCACAAATATAAATACCATAGTCACTTATATACCTGAATCTAATTATATGATACTATAGTATATAATAGATTATATTCTGTATATTAGCATATACCATATTGTATCACATTGTGTTATATTCAATATATTACATAATATTTTGTTATAATCTATATAAACTTATGCACACATGATAAGTGAATTTCAAATGGATGTGTATATATAATAAAGGTGTATATATGAATGTGTATACACACAGAGATATATAAACACTCATTTATTATAGATATACAAACATACATGTATTATACACATACATATATAAGACTCATTTTTAGGATATTTCTGAGTTTTGGTTTTTATTTTAATGCTTCTGTGTCCCAACATACCAGTTTTACATGAAATAATTTTCTTTCTTTAATATGTTCTTGTCAATAACATATCTATGGATTTTAAACCATAAAAAATTACAAATGATTAATGTAAAATTTCAGTGCTTTGTGTTGTTTTTAATTGCAATCCCACACTTTATTTTGCCTTGAAACAAAATAAACTTTTTTAACATGCATTGAATTTTGGTATATTGAAATGCATCTCCATGAGCCTACCTAGTTGGGAAGCTGAAACAGAGGTGTAGCTTGAGCCCAGGAGTACTGGGCTGTTGTGCACTATGCCAACTGGGTGTCCACACTAAGTTCGGCATCAATATGGTGACCTCCTTGGAGCAGGGGACCACTAGGTTGCTTAAGAAGGGGTGAACTGGCCCAGGTCAGAAACATAACATTTCAAAACTCCCATGCTGATCAGGGTGTAGCTTTGTTCCTATTACATTTGTTCTGCAGGAGAATTTGCATAGCAAGTAGCTTTCTTTGATAGAACACTGGCAAAAAAAAAAAGAGTGGTCAATTTGCCTAAATATCAATATAAATATTTCTTTTAAAAAAACCCTTTCCATTTAATTCAGTCTCTAAAAGAATATGAACTATAAGAAAAGTGTAACTCTTAGAATTCATAATTGAAATGGTCATGAGCAATAAATTGTAAAATTGATGAGATTACGTTTCTTAGTCCTAATTTCTCTTGATTTTTCCCTTTCTTGCAGATTTTCATGGTCTTAAATAAAAAGAGAACAATCTTCAGATTTGATGCCACCTGGTGCACATTGTCTCCTTTCAGCTCAATTAGAGGAACAACTATTAAGATTTTGGTCCATCCATATCCTTTTCTATTGGCTTTAAACTACACTAATATAAAATATAACTATTATATTAAAATACTATGACAGTCTTTTTCACTTTTGAATTGATGTATCATTTTAGGTCATATTGAAATCTGGATTTTATAACTGCTCTAAATGTTTCACATTTGAAAATACATTTAAAATATATTTTCTAATACACATGTCAGTAGTAAATATTAACAAATCTTAATCCTTATTGCTTTTTGATATAAAGAATGTATATTTTGACATTTTAGAAGCTTTTATCTCATATGCATATACATATAAACAGATCATAGAAAGATTTCTAATATCATTTATTACTTAATATTCCTTGACTATGACCTACTTTTTTCCAACTGTTAATTTTAATTAGTGTCCTGATTGATTGCATATTTATGTCCATGACTAACTTGCCAGAATGGGCTCATGCATTACAGTAAGTTATATAATTTTTTATACATACTCATAATTAATTTTATATTTAACATATTCTATAATAGTACATTATATGCTATATATTATACCATTGTACAATTTAATATTTAATTTTATAGGTAAATTTCATTGTACATGTGTAATAGCTATACACATACACAATAATTATACACAATAACTTAATGAATTTTCCAAATGAAAACAAATATATCAGTTCCTCAATTTTAATGTTTTTTTCTTGCCCTTTTATTACTCTTACTTGGATTTTAAATGCCTCTCTTAACTATGGTAACCACACCTAAGGGGAGTAAATCTATACCATCAAAAAATGAGAAAAGATGTAGAACAATGGTACTTAATTAAAAATAATAATAGCAAACAAATAAATGAATAAATAAATATATAAATAAATAAATGCCTCTATTTCCCAACATGTTAGATTGACATTATATAAATATTTGTTTATGTCTATGTATCATACAAGTGGGGTTTTATTTTAAAATTAATTACTAATGATTAATATAACATTTTCAGTGCTTTGTATTTATTTCAATTCCTCACTTAGCTTACTTCATATTTAAAAGTTATTCCTTCCCATTCCTTAAGAAAATTATTTTCTTTCCTTCTTTTTTCTTTTTTGTCCTGAAGGACTTGAGTAGTTTGACTTGCATGGATAGGGTGATGATAAAACCTAGTAAGTTTTTAAAGAAGCAGGCCTTCTTCATGATTATGCTCGAGCTTTAACTCTGTTCTTAAAACTAGTTTTAAGGAGGTAAATATAATACTGATTTGGAAGATAACTATAATACTAATTCACCATGAAAGACCTTGTATATGCACGTAATAAAGTGAAGTCTTTCTCTCTTACTCACTTTCATTAAATTAATTATTGTATCATTTCCAGTGTGGAGTAAATTTGATATTTAATATTTTCATCATTTACCTAAATACACATAAAGACTATAAACCTGGACTAGGACTTTTTGAAAAAACTGCTAGTCAAATTTCATGGTTAATACCATAAGATGTATCCACCCTAGAAACTTTTAAGTACTATCCTATGATTCAAGGACACATGCTTTTTGATTATTGGTTGGTTGGTTGGCTGCTAGATAGTTTTCATAGACATAGTATTTCAGTGCTGCCAATGTAGTGTTCTCACTTTCAACCTCATGAAAATTTTTTGCAGGACTACTTTACTTGGAATTTACATATTTGAAATACTTGTGAAACTCATTGCAAGAGGCATCTGGGTAGGATCTTTCTATTTCTTTGGTGATCCATGGAACTGGCTTGATTTCATTGTAACCTTATTTGAGTAAGTATTTCTTTAGGATACAAACATCTTAATTTTTTCTTAGCAAACGCTTTTTATAAAGAAACATTGAAGTTGAAAAAGTTATCTGTTTACAAAAATCCTGTGAATAAAGAATATTTCATGAATCCATAGTCATAACGAGTTCTCTCAGACAGTGCCAACTAAACAGTTTTCGGAATATGCAATAAAAATAAAAGAAATGGGGAACTATCTGTGTTCTAAAGGAAGCAAAAATAGTAGAAACTGAATGTTTGCATTTTAAATGATAATTGTCAGTGAACAGAAAATCCCCTGGAGATTTGGGAAAGGATTCTAGCATATCTCACAGTGTCTCCAATCAAAAATTTATTTAATCACATTGCTTAAGATCAGTAAATATTCTAGATAACAGATAAGATATTTCAAACAAACACACACACATAATCACAGTTTATTTAGAGTGTTACAGTAAATTCTAATGATTTGTGTGTGTGTGTTTTTAAAGATTGATTTATTTATGCATACAAGAACTGGGGTATAGGCCAGAGGTGCAGGGGGTGGGAGGATTCACCAGAGACATAGTGGGGAGCAGAACAGGATTGACAGAAATACACTGCTGAGGGGAGCAGTGGGCAAGACAGGAGAGGTCTGCTGTGCCAAGTGGGTCAGCTTTCTGGCCTGGGATCAAACTCATGCTTCATCGTCTGTGGATTGCCTTATAGTGCTGAGACTTAACACCTTGAGCCACCAGGGAGGCCCTGTATTTATTTTTTCAATGCTTCTCTTTAGCAGACTGTTTTATGGCTAAGAAAATAATCACTGGTATAAAATTGCTATTAAAAATAATGTAAAGTAATATTCTATTTATAGGTAATGGATCAATTTTTTACGATGACCTCTATAAAGAATAGAACCAGTGTCTGTTGTGATAAGCAATCAAAAAATAGTAGCTAATAGCTGAAATTATGATCACTACTACTACTATTACTGCCATTATTTCTGATGCAAACATGTTCGTTCTTTCTGTTTCTGTTAGCTTACACTTAACTAACAAAGTTAACTTTTAAGGACTCCCTTGGATTGGGCCATGTGCTAGTCTGTGTGCTTTACACATATATTACTTACTTAATCCTTACCAAAAAATTCAGAATTAGAAAGTAATATTATCCTTACCTTACTTTTGAGAGAGAGGCAAAAATGATTAAGTAATTTTTGTTGCCACACAACTAGTAAATAGTGGACCCTGGATTTCCACACAGGCAGTCAGGCTACAGAAGATACATGATTAACTACAGGACACCTCACTTTCTGCCATCATCACTGTCACCATTATCCCCATCATCATCACTGTCATCTCATCATCAAAATCATCACCATAATTATCAATATCATCAGAAAATTACTTAATGAAGCTTAATTTTTTAAAAAAATGGTTCTTATTTTTAACTATCTTTTTTTAATTACATAATAGAATAATTATGAATATAGTATAAAATATTGAAGATAAAATTAAGACTACTCACAGTATCAAAATTTTATATACTTGCATAATTTGTTTGTGGATTAATATTTACCTGACTACCTTGCACTTAGCAACTTTGTCTTTCAGTCAATAATACAACTATTTATAAAATGGAATAATAATGCATAGGAAACATTAAGATACAGGGTTTTAAAAATAAATTTCAAAGTGTTTAAAGCCAAAAATAAGTAGCATGGATTCAATATGACTTCTAAATAACTGTAATTTAATTTCACAGGCTTATAGGAAGATATTCACCTCAAAAATTCCTCAATATATTCATAATTGTAAGAAATTTGAGAATTTTGAAAATCATTCCTTTAAACCAAGGTAAGGAATGACAGTTCCTTTTGTTAGTTCTGCCTTCTGTACTTTTGTATGCTCATTTCAGAAATATTAAATTGAGCAATGTTTCATCTTTGAAATCAGAGAATGATATGATGTTTACATTTATTATTTATTCCAGGAAAGGCAAAATATACCATCTAATTATTATTTGTTTGAGGCAGTATCGATACTTATGTTAACAAACTGTAGAGACTAAATCAAAATATTGTTTTTATTATTTATTTCTTTGTACAAGTTAACAAAGAACTTTTAAATTACCCTTAAACTTCTAAGGGAGGGGCCTCCCCGGTGGTGCAGCGGTTGAGCGCTGGGTTGCGAAGCTGCCCGCGGCCTCTGCGGCGCCGGTTCGATCCCCGGCTGCTCCCCGGCCACCGGAGGAGGATCCCACATGGCGCGCAGACCTCTCCTGCAGCCCGCTGCTCCCCTCAGCAGTGTACTTCGGTCTTTCTGCCTGCTCTGCTCCCCGCTCTGGCTCTGGTGAATTCTCTCGCCCTCCCGCGCTTCTGACTGTACCCAGTGCATGTATAAACAAAACAAACAAACAAACCAGCAAACAAATAAATAAAGCATGCCTCTATAAAAAAAAAAAAATTAAAAAAAAAAACTTCTAAGGGAGAGAACAGTCTAGGCAGATATCTAATTGCCTTTTTATTGCATCAAGAAACCAGTGGAAATTAACAAATTAATGTAAAATAAGACAAATTCCCCTTTGCTCTTAGTGCTTGTTTAGGGAGCATTCCATATACCACAAGTTCAAGAAGGTGCTGCCAAATAAAGTAGTGCTTTGACCTGACTGATGGAAGATGCTAAGGACTAATTTATAACTCTTATTCCTGAAGCTATGTTAGAGAAGCCCAACAATACCTTCTAATTTGTTGTTCAAATTGCATAAAAGCAATCAAATAGGAACAAATTCACTGAGAGGATTTTTTTTGGCTATTGTGATTCAGAAGTATTATGAAATAGTTAGATCGATAAATTAAAGTGTGGTAAGACCAAAAAAAAAAATCTATAGGCAACTTGTGTCTGCTAGAATATTTTGATATTTTGAAAGCCAGACACATATATCCTATGTCTAGGCTGGACAAAACAATGAAAATACTTAGTATTGTGGTGATAAATACATACTCTGTGGTTATAGGGTAAAATAAAACATTGAATTATATCCATTAAATGGGTGGATTGTGTGGCTCATGAACTCTGTATCAGCAAATCTATTTAATTAAAATTATCTGTAACAAAACAACTTTGCCAACTCCAGTGATAAAACCAGCAGTGAGAGTAACCCACAAATTGTGATAGCATTAAAGTGCATCACCTGCATCTTCATTTAGGATCAGAGGTGAGGATTATAGAAGAAATCAGGTAAAACCGAATTAGTACAAGAATACAATCACTACAGTTGTGAGTACACAGCTGACAGATGTAGCTCTTTTTTTAAAGATAGAAAATAATCAAGGCGCATGCCAGGAGTATGTTTGAAATTGTTTTGTAATACAGTAAGAAAAACCTATTATTTAATAATATGAAATCATTTTTTTCTTTAAAAATATGTGTTTTAAGCAATAAAGTCAAGTATGAGATTCATCTGTTTGTAGTCCCAAAAGAAGAGAACCTATAATCTCTTAAGCAGAGATGAATATGAGATGATAAAAAAGACAAATTAAAAATACCTTGAAGACAAAATGTGATAAAAACCGTAATACCTTAGTGAATATTTGATAGTAATATAAATAGTAGTTTATAGCATTATCTTCACGGTTTTATAGTATAATAAAACAAAACCACTTGTTTAAATAAAAACTATAGAGTTCTATATAAATGTGGTAGAATCCAAATTGATATGGATTAATGGAGGAGAGAAAATTAAGTCCATCCAATAAACAACTGGCAATCCAAAAAAAAGGATGAGAATGAATGTAAAAGCTAAATCGTTCCAAAAATACATAATGCATTCTACAAATATTTTTAATCCCTTAACTGAAGAAAGAATTTAGTCACAAATGGGAAGGGCTTACCTGATACTAGACAACAACCAAAAAATTCCCTTAGAAGATACACTTAGAGATATTACAAAATTTTGTAATCATAGAATACTGAACAGTGAAATATAAAAATCCTACAAACAAAAAAAAAAAAAGCAGAGAAAAAAAGCCTAAGAAAAGATTGTCCATCCTTAAACCTCTTGATAAAATTAAATGTGAGTAGGCAGTGAAGTTTCAGAGCTAGAGCTGAGTGTAGGCAGAATTCTATACCTGTCTATCATTCATATGGGAAATCAACAGAAGGCTGCAAGAGCTCAGAAATTTTACATGTATATCTTTCCTGACTATCTGCTGGGGGGAAAAAAAAGGAGTAAAGATAAAATATTTAACAATAGGAAGATCCAAAAGGAATCACAAAGAACTATGAAATTATTTCAACAGAGAATGAATTCAAATTGCTGCTCTTAGTGGGTTGCAAAACAGAATACAAATATTATAAATCTGAAGTTACAGTACAAACATCTGTGGATCGCTTTTGAACTGGTGACACACATTATTTGTGCTTTAGAAAAAAATCGAAATAGATGTCAACATTATAAAAATATATATTTTGGCATTAAAATCTAAATTAATTTGGTTGAATTGTCAGCATAGATCTGCCTGCTTCCTGCATGGCAACTACGAACTGCCCATAAGGAGCAGCTGCCCCTTTAAGTGAGGGATATTCATTTAAAACTCTTCTACTTTTATTTGCATGAATTTATTTTCTGACAAACCTTTATAAAGATTTTAATTTTACCTGTCCTATAAGTCATTAAAGATAATGCAAAATTCAGCAATATAGCTAGGCCAAAAGTCCTAAATTATATATTTTTTTAAATTTTTTTTAAGATTGATTTATCTATCTATCTATCTATCTATCTATCTATCTATCTATCTATCTATCTATTTATTTATTTATACAAGCGCTGGGTACAGTCAGAAACACGGGAGGGTGAGAGAATTTACCAGAGCCAGAGCAGGGAGCAGAGCAGGCAGAAGGACCGAAGTACACTGCTGAGGGGAGCAGCGGGCCGCAGGAGAGGTCTGCGCGCCATGTGGGACCCTCCTCCGGTGGCCGGGAAACAGCTGGGGATTGAACTGGCACTGCAGAGGCTGCGGGCAGCTTCACAACCCAGCGCTCAACTGCTGCGCCACCCGGGAGGCCCAGTCCTAAATTATATTAATAAAAACCAAGAAATGGGAGTAGAGAAATGTGAGAAAGTAAATACAGTTTTTTTTTTCTTTCTTGTGTGGTAAGATTACTGTAGTTTTATTTTTAATACAGAAAACAAGTTTTTTCAAAATATGAAGTTCAATTTGATACCTGTTCTCAAAATAGATGAATTTTATCTAAAGTGATAGAAGGAAAAATATTAAAATTTATTTATGAAGAATAGGGCACGTAGTAACTCACAAATGGAATTTAAAGTAAAAATAATGGTAAAAAATTCCAAAAGTCAAGCCAACATATTAAAATAAATATAATTGGGTTAATTTTTTCTGTCAAGATGTAGAGACTTTAACATTAAATCAGAAATAAATGGAACTACACAAGAGACATGCCTAAAATAAAGCAAAATGAAAATCTGAAAATAAAAAGAAAGGCCTATGACTCAATTGACCTATGACTCAGACCATTGAATGGGAGGTAACAATGAATATTATTGATGAATTTATTCAGTAAAGATTGATGATGATTTTTTTTACCATCAAGCAAAATGTCACTACTAAAATGGAAAGCTCCACAAGTTTTGATTTTATACACATGTATACATTCATTCTTATTTAAAAATAATTACAACACAATGATATGAACACATTTTTTCAATGGAAAAATGTACAGAAGATTCATGATAGTGCTAATGAAATGTAAACAATGTAATATATATTTTTCAGGTTTATTTAAAGTTCATTATAATAATCACAGAAATTACATCAATGTAATATGATTCATATTTCTCCTAATAAACTGGCAACAATTATTTTTAATGCCCCAGTATTAGTGAAGGCTTGACCATATATTTATTGTCTTTGGTTTATACATTAGTTCAACATTTTTTAAAAACATGTTGAACATTATGTACTAGTATTTAAATATGATTATATAATTTGACTGAGGAATTCTATTGCTAGTGTAACACTAAAAAAAGACTTCCCTGTAGCAAAACAAACAAACAAACAAAGAGTATAATGCCAAATGATGAAAGTAGACTATCAACATTTGTATTTCAGTATGACTGACATACTTGTTTATTTCATGTGTATATCACATCTCTTTAGTCACAAGAATAACTTTTTTTAAAACTCTATGCTGTTTGTTCACCCTCAAATAATATATGAAATAGGAGTTATTACCCTCGTTTTAGACAATAAAATGGACACAAGAAATGTGATAACTTACTAAACATAACAGCTAGCATTCTCATCCGCTGTTTTTTTTTTTTATAAAAGATTTATTTATGCATACAAGAACTGGGGCACGGGCCAGAGGTATGGGAAGTGAGAGGATTCACTGGAAACAGAGTGGGGAACAGAGCAGGCAGATCGACTGAAATACACTGCTGAGGAGAGCAGCTGGCGAGTCAGGAGAGGTCTGCTGCGCCATGTGGGTTGTTCCCCGGCCAGCGGGGAATTGAATCGAACTCCTGCTGCAGAGGCTGTGGACAGCTCCACAGCTCCACAGTGCTGTGCCTAATCCCTTGTGCCACAAAAGAGGCTCCACTCATCCATTGTTAAGTGAAGTAGTTATTAGAATCCTAAATATAAATGGACAGCAAAAAGAATAGAGCAAGGGAAAAAGAGGTGAGAGGAAGGAAAAGGAAAGGAAGAAAAATAATTACATCTATGAAGAGTGATTACCTCATTTGGGGGTTTTGTTTCTTCTTGTTTTCTACACTTTCAGAATTGAATATGTCTTATTTAATACTTATAAAGTAAATGTCTGTATCACAGTCAGATGTTATTCTCATTACTAATCATAAAAATTTTTCATAATTTATTCTATCAGTTCTAAAGATTAAAATATTAAAAAGTAAACAAAAGAATAGTATGGACCACTGCTATTTTGAACACTTTCTTGTATCAACATTTGCAAACAATTTTGATTTATAACTCTATATCTTTCCTTTTGCTTGTAAACAATGGTGATTAGAAAGCAGTTACCAAGCGAGAAAGTCTGTCCTCTATGTAGTAAAAAAAAAATAATAATAATAATTTTAAAGTATCATGTCTGAATTATTGCCAGGTGTACTACATTAGCAATAATGCAGAAACTTCTAAGTTTGGGGTTTTATTTATTTTTATTACATTGAGATAATGATGAATTTGATGATATAAAATGTAGCTATTGATGGAGTATGTATTTGCCATGGAAGAGGTTTACTAGTGTTACTTTTTTGTGTTATTTTGTCAAAAAACAAATCTTTATCTTTCAGGTCTTAAGTCTTATGTAGGGATCCTTATCCATTGCTTGAAGAAACTTACTGGAGTCATTCTCCTAACTCTCTTTTCTCTGAGTGTATTTACTCTAATTGGGATGGAATTCTTCATTGGCAAACTAAAGCATAAATGTTTGCGATGGCCCCAACAAAACGAAACTGAAATCCCCTACAACAAAACTGGAAATCCATATTATATTCGAGGTAAGACTCACTTGCTATCTGTGTCAAAGAAATAAAAGTGATTTTTTTTTAACAGTGGAGCATACATCACAACAATATTCAACACTCAACTTCAGAACAAATTCAACTTCAGAATAAACTTCAAGTAAATCCTGTAACTATGCTGAAGTCCAAATTTAAATCATTTCATTAGAATAACAAAGTTCCAGTCTTCACATAGTTAAATCAGGAAACCTAAGTTTGGAATTGCTAAATTTACAAAGGTTATCCTTTAAAAGAATGGCTATGTCTTATTTATAATTTCATAAGTGTAGAATCCTTATCATACTATTTTCAATAAAATTATTTTAAATATAAATATAGATTTACTCATTAGAAATTTTGAGATGACCATATAAACTTAAAAAATGGTCTACATTATAGAAATTTCTATTCTTGTTGGATTTCAATTACTATTGCCTATTTTAAATGCTTTTATTTGTATTTTGGTAAATAATCAAAATATTTTAGGCTAATAGGAATACTGCTAAGTATTGCTTAGCTTTTACACATAAGTAATTCACGTGCCTAATTACATATCTTAACCATAATCCTGAAGAGGAGACATGAGTAACCCCTCTTTCAAGGGAAACAAAAGTTCAGAAAAATTCATACTCGCCTATGTTCCTTACAGTCCAATTTATAATAGCCAAGTTAAGTACCCAAGGACAGATAATTGGATTAGGAAAATGTGGCATAAATACATAATGGAATATTACTCAGTTATAAAAAAAAAAAACTCTTGCCATTTGAGACAACATGGATAGAACTGGAGGGGCTAAAGCTAAGCAAAGTAAGTCAGAAGGAGGAAGAAAAATACTGAATGATTTCACTTATATATGAAATATGTAGAAACAAAAGTAAGGGTCAGAACCAATAACAAACCTTAGAAGTCTGAGTGTGGAACTGAGGCTAGGAGAGTGGGGTGGGGGAGGTGGAGAGCAGGCTGTGAATGGGGTCCAGTGTATTATAGTGGAGGACTGTTAGTGACTTGGTGGTGGGTGTGGTGTGGTAACATGCATCTGAAGAGATGTGATCTTAAACCTCTGAATCACATACAGTGTTGTAAATCAATCTTAACTTAATAAAAAGAAAAGGTGGAAAGGAGGGAGGGAGGGAAAATAAGGGAAGGGAAGGAAAGAAATGGAAGTGAGGGGGGAGGAGGGGAGGGGAGGGAAGGGAGGAAAAATCTGGTCTTCTGCTCAGAAATATCCTCCAGAAAAAAATCCTGAAAGAAAACATTCTCAGCTTTCAAACAAACTCATCTTGGGAATTTATCCTTTGAGATCTGGTGCTGGCTGTTTGATATATTTATTATCCTAAACTCTAATTTTGAAAAGGATTCTCTTGTTTTTATTCTGATCTTTGTCATTTTGGGTACAATGAAGTAGGCAGACTGCCAGAGAGCTTTTGGCCTTATAGCAGATGTTAGATAAAAAGAAAGCAAAACTCCTAGATAAAAAAGGCCAGGTTATTTATTTGTTCCTTCTCACTATAGAGAGGGATGTTCATCTTCTGTGCAGCTCTAGATAAGCCTATCGATTACATATAGAATAATTTCTTTAATATTTTTCAGAAACAGGAAACTTTTATTATTTGGATGGAGAAAGATCTGCTCTTCTTTGTGGCAACGAAACAGATGCTGGGTAAGTGATGTTAATGTTTTTGCCTGTTCATGTTAGTTTCAGCAATCAGTAATATTTATTGAATGGCTATTATTGCTTTAAATGATGGTTTTTCATTTGATGATTTTATCTCATTTTATCATCAAGACCATGCTAAGAAATGTGTGATATGGAATACTATTAATTCAGCTTTACAGAAAGAAGCAATTGACAGACTAATTAGATTATTTATTTAAGGTCAAGTTGGCAGATCTGAGACTGAAACAAGGATCTAATACTCTATTTTCTGTGTACCACAAAGCTAGTGGGAATTATCAAGAAAAACAATATTATCTTTTCTTTGGCCAGAAACCTTTGAAGGAAAGAAATATTAAACATATGCTTTGATGTCATGTACTTTATAACCTGTATATCTTATATGACTATAGTTTACATTAATAAAATGTTTTTTGTTCTTAAAACATTATTTACAAATAATTTTTCAGTGACATGACAAATTTTTATGTCTTACTTTCCTCTAATTGTAGATGAAGAGATAGGGAAGTAGAAATAGAATGTTCAGCAGTGGCAGAAGTACATAATTCCTATGTTACTTTCCTCACCTGAAATGACTTGATAGTCATGTCTAGGCTCAGTTCTTTTTTAGTCTCTGGGGCCCAGATTGACAGAAGGCACAAGGGATGAGAGGCATTTGAGTTACATGGTTTAGTTACATTTGGGTGATTTAGAAATTTTCTTTCTTGACCTATTCTTTTTGCCTGGCTATTCCTAGGCTTCCATTCCATCCTTTAGTCCAAATTGTGAATACATCCCATTGTGAATATCCCATACCACTCCAATTAATCCTGCTTATGAACATTCCAAACTCATCTTGAAGATATCTGGTCATAGATAATCAGAACCCATATAAATTGAAGAAAGCTGGTCATGAATAGTTAAAATGAAAATGATATATCTCAAGGCCAGCAGAGAAAGTCATGAACGGTTTCACGAATAACTGTTATAATTTGCTTCTTGGTAAACTATGCCAGAAGTTAGTGTTGAAAGACAAAAACAGTAATTTATTTCTTCAGAATCTGTGTCAGCACTTTAGAAAACCTCAGCATACAGGTGCTTTTTAATCATCTGTTGCATTACATTTGTTTAACCATTAACATCTAAAATCAGTCAATGGCCAAGGCCAGAACAATGGTGGAAGAGAGCTAACTATATAAGAGAGTAGATAGATGGAAACATAACTTGTTGGACCAGTACTTTAATACTTTACACTATCTAAATGTCCAGAAGACAAAAGCAAGAAAACTCCATGTGGGGAATGGAAATAATTTTTAATCTGATCATTCTACCAAAGATGCAAATAGTGCTTATAAATTATTGATGTGATAAATATTTTCTCAGCCTTAAACAACAGTATCTAAGGGTTTATGATGAGTTCATTTGAAAATTAAACCCTCAACTACTGCGGTAGTTTTATTTCTACCAGTGTTATTTTCCTTCAGTTACACATTCATTTTTTGAAAGTGAAGTTTTTGGTAGTAACAATATCTTTAACAAAGGGCTGACAAAAACCATTTCTACTGCCCTTTTTTCTTTTAGCTTAACATGCTTCATTTATAAGCAACTTAAAATCTCACTCACTCACAGCTTTTTAGCTGGGAATTGATTGGGAAAAGACTCCCTGTAAAAGAGGGAGCCCTTTATTTATTATTCATGGGCAGATTCTACATTTATGGTTTGGCCATAAACTGAAAATACCCTAAGAGTAAGCAGTTTTTCTTTTCTTTATCTTCTTTAGTCAGTGTCCTGAAGGATATGTGTGTGTGAAAGCTGGTGCAAATCCTGATTGTGGCTACACAAATTTTGACAGTTTTGGCTGGGCCTTACTGGCCCTATTTCGATTAATGACACAGGATTTTCCTGAAGCACTTTATCACCAGGTAAGAACAGAGAATTTGCCCATGTGTAAAAATGGTGTTATGCTCCTCCCTTCTAAAATAACAGTCAAATATAATACAGTTAATTTTATTAATATGTGGCGAATTTAAAGTCAGAAGAAAAGAGAACCAAAATATCAAAAAATATATACATATATGCTAACACTACCCAAAGCTGAGCTCTTATACATAAAATCTCATATAATCTGTGAAAGAATACTAGTGTCAGTACATATGTATTTTGCTTTTTGTCTGAAGACACTTAGTATCAGAGCTGTTGGATAACCCTCACCAAACTTACCACAAATGTCACTGCCCTATCCTCCTGCTTTGTAATAACATACATTTGATATCAACTAAGAGCATTTCTAAGTGCTATTTAGTAAAAAATTGAATTGTGTTCATATTCTTTTAATCAATAAGGATAAATCAGTGACTATATTTTGGATTTGTGATGTGTTCTTGTAACTTTGTAACTTCAAATTTTCTGATCAATCTTTTGTAATAATTATGAAATAAAAGATAGTTTGGGAATGTAAAATTTTGTGGTTTTCTATCCAAAAATGACTCATGTAAATGAATTATTATAACTTTCCCTGTAATTTATCTATAAATTCTTCACAAAAGCAGGTGTTCTGACACATGTAGAAATATTCCTGTTCCCCGGAGTTTTGAATAGAACTTATTTTTAACCTTTCTGTGATGTGTCCATGAAGTAATGACCTGAAGACAGTGATCTCCAAATACTCATTCTCTCATTAGATTATGCTTCATATATTTTATTATTTTACTGAAATATACTTTCCATCTTTATACTCTCCTGCTTTCTTTATTGAACATGAAAAGTTTATCTTTTCATGTTTTCTCTATTAATGAAGACATAAACATCAAATGCTAATCCTAAATTCATAAAATGACTGCATACTTCCATTGATTTGTACCATATTTTGGACTTTACATATATGTCTAAAAGTTGAAGAACTCTTTGCTATTTCTCCAGGTAGAACCCAAACTTAAACTGTCTTGTAAATGCATTCCACCTATAACTAAATTGTTTTCATAACAAAATTTTATTTAAAATCATATAATAGGGTCTCCCTGGTGGCGCAGCAGTTGAGCGCTGGTTTGCAAAGCTGCGCGCAGCCTCTGCAGCGCCGGTTCGATCCCCGGCTGCTCCCTGGCCACTGGAGGAGGGTCCCACATGGCGCGCAGACCTCTCCTGCCGCCCGCTGCTCTCCTCAGCCGTGTGCTTCGGTCCTTCTGCCTGCTCTGCTCCCCACTCTGGCTCTGGTGAATTCTCTCACCCTCCCGCGCTTCTGACTGTACCCAGTGCTTATATAAATAAATGAATAATAAATAAATAAATAAATCTTAAAATAAATAAATAAATAAATAAATAAATAAAATCATATAATAAAGAAAGGTAAATAATGCTTCACTCTTTTGTCCTTTTACACCTCTCCTTAGATCCTTTATGCCTCTGGAAAGGCCTACATGATATTTTTTGTTATAATAAGTTTTTGGTTTGCCTTTTATTTGGCAAGTTTATACTTGGGCATAATTGCTAAGGCTTACGAAGAAGAAAAGCAGACAGCTACTGAAAATGTGAAGACTAAACTAAAATATCAGCAGAATTTCAAAGAACTTCAAGAGGGAAATAAAGCAACCGAGGTATACATTTTTTTAATGTCTCTTAAAGAATTTGAGTTATCATCTTAAGGTTTTGGAATATTTTTGTCTTCTACTAGATGCTCCTATCTGCATGTGGTTTGTGATTAGAAAAAGTGATTTTGTTAAGATGGTTCACATTTGCTACAGATCAGAGTGTACTGTGGTAAAATTGACCAACACCTTTAATATATATTATATATATTAATATATGTGTATTTTATACATATATATGTATATTTTGTTCCAAAATGTATACTGCTACTGCTGATTAAGGTTTCTCCTAATCCCTACCAATTGCGGTTTTGCTGTTTTAATACTTTCAAAATCTAATTGCAGCTTCTCTTTAGGTGTCTTAAAAGTCCCAATTTTCAAGAAAACATGCAGGCTCAAAACTTACTGAGACCTAAATTCCACTCAAAATCTTAAACCATATATTTCCATTGTGTGCAGAGGTTGTTTGACTCAAGGAATAAATGTCTGTTAAACTAAAAAAAAAAAAAAAGTTTCTCCATACATATATTTAAAACTTCACTTTTTAATGTAGGTAGCATTTGTTAATATAGACACATCACAATTAACTTTGGAAATTTTCTATGTTCAACCCAAAAGTGATAGGGATTTCCATAATTTAGAAATCACGAAGTACTAAAAGTATGGATGGAAGTACGAATTGTAAAGGGAGAATAAAAAGTTCACTTTATTGGCTATTTCTTTCCTTCAAGAGGAAATCTGCTATGTATCATTATAGGAAATTCTCTTATCCATGGAATAACCAAATCCATGATTAGTATAATTTAATAAAGTTTTACTTTAATTTTCAATTATTTTAGTGTTATATTCAAATGTATTTTTCACATTTTTTTGCCTTACAACAAAATATTTTGTATACAAATCTGAAAATATTGATAGACGAAACATTTGAGAAATTGTGAAAATTATCTTTAAAAATCTAGATTGTGCTATAAGTCTGCTAAAAGAAAGAACAGAATTCAGGAAAGCACCAAGAAGTGTCTTTTCTGTATTCCAAAGGACCTGGCAATCTCACACCTGCAATTACCATGACTAGTCTACGGATAAAAGACAGATTGAGATATAAAGAACAGAGAATAGAAAGGAACTATACCTAGAACCTTTTATATAAAATTAATTTATATAAATTAAAAAATATTGGGAAAAATGAAGAACCAAAGTACACTCTGGCACTAAATGGAATGTATAGTAAGGGTGAGTAAGAGGTTCATTAATACCAAAGGTTCCAACTGGATTAACTTGCCTATATCTAAAACCCTTTTATTTGGTCATAATTAAGGAGTTCTAGAAAAGTCATTCTATTGAAAAGTAGGACCTGAGTCAGATCATGTAGGATCATACCAAATGACTAGGTATTGATAGATACTTGTGTCTGTGAGTTTTACAACATGCATACCATTGAAACAAGAAGCAATTATAGACCATCTGAAGAAAACATGTATAAAAAGAGTCTATTGAGTGTAGCCATTATATCACCCATGAGTAAGTCACAGGAAAACAAATTACAAAAGAAGCTTTCTGTGTCCAGAAATGAGTCTGGGGTCTTTTAGATTGAATGATGATGGTCTGAATAGCATGTGGAATGAGTAATTTGTTTTGAAGTGGTATTTCAAATTTCAAGGGCTACACACAAGTGTATTCAAGCACACAATACTTCTCTTATCCCAAAATGAGATGCCCTGTTAACTCTGCTTGTGAAGAACTTGGATTATTTCCTGATTTCCCAATATCTCTATTCATTCAACTGCTCTGGAACAAATAAAGTCTCTGTTTTAATTAAAATCTTTCAATTATAAAGAATTTCTTTCCATGGAAGAGTGCTAGAACATTTTGTCATGTGAAGGTTTTCTGGGAAGTAAGAGTGAAAACCCTTTTTATAAAATTTATTTTCTTTTCCATATATACACACACACACACACACACACACACACAAACACTAGAGAAACAATTTTTAATAAATGCAAACATAGTGTATCTTCATGAAGATAATGGTCTAATGGAGAGATTAACTATAAAATTATCACAAACACAAAATTGTAGCTCTAGGGCCATCAAATATTATATGTTTCCTGATGATATGAAATATGAAATGTAAAATATCACATACATTACATTCTTACTAAACCCCTGGCTAAGTCCAATAAACCTCTAAATCTGTGTTTCTCCAGAAAATATATTGAATTACACAAGACAATCTGCCAAATCAAGAATGTTGACAATGCTACAATACTTATGACCCAGTATCTTCAAAAACAAATCGCATAGAAAAAAATAAATTGAAATGACAATATAATCAATATATCTGCCAACTAAAAACAACATGTGGCTCTTATTTGTTTTTTGACTGGGACAAATCAACTATAATAAAATGTTTTTGATCAATGAAAGAAAGTTGAGCATGGTTGGGTATTGGCTAATATTAAGGAATTACTAGTTTTGCTGATTGTGATAATGGTGTGATTATTCTTCAAGAAAGCTCATTTTGATAAGTATATGACATGAAATTTGACTTAAAACATTTCATAAAAGAAATAGGGGGAAAGGAAATAGGTAAATTAGGTAAAAGGGATCAATTATATAGTGAAGATTAGAATTAGACTTACAATGGTGAACATAATGTGGTATACACAGATGCTGATTCATTATATACACCTGAAACTTATATAATGTCATAGACTAATGTTATTTCAAGAAAAATTTTAGTAAGGTAATAGATAAAAATGAAAAATATAATGTTATTAATTGTCAAATCTGGATATTGTATACTTGCTGGTACTCTATATTATATGCTACTAAAAAAAACTAAATGAAACTGTGGCAAGTGCAATACAAGACAGAACCATGGTTCTTCAAGAGCCTATAATAAAGGTGTTCTCTAAGTTGGAAAAGACTTTTGAGCTGAGATCTTGAGCTGACTTGAAAAAAGAAAGATTTGAGCTGAGATCTCAAGATCTCAAGGAGGAACAAACAGGGTGAGTCCAAGAATTAAAAAGAGAAGAAAGCTGCAACAGAGAGAGCAAGTCTGAGTCCAAGATGAACACTTCAGATCCTAATTGATAAATAATGAAAATATGACTTGATTCTTCCTTATTCATATATTCCCTCCAGAGAAAATTTAAACAAGTTGTAAGAAGGAATATTAGTCCATTTTCCTGTCTAATTTTAACAGCACACTATTCAAAATTCAGGCATATACCCTTACTAAACTCTAAACTCCCAAATAGATTATTGAATTATGATCCTATCAATTTGTTCTGTAAAATAGATATGTCCAATATGTGGGCATCTCAAAACTTTTGGAAGCTAATTGAGGTAAATATATTACTTGATCAACTTGTGGTTCATTGTATATTCTAAAATTTATTCATAGTTCGAGTCATTAGTAGAAAATTAAGCATTGACTATGTCAACAGTAGCATTATTATGCTCCCTACTCTAATCTCCTACACACACGGACAATTATTTCTACTGAATGGCTTTATGAAGGTATACCTGGAAAATCCCTATCATATCTTAATAGAAAAAGTATACTTCTGGTGGTTTTTAACTGACAGAAATTTGGAATTGTATAAAATGTAACATGTAACTTTGCAAATCAGGTAAAAAATATTTTCTGGAATAATCATGACTTAAGAGAATAGACTGAGTTTTTAGCTTACTTTTTTTAAAAAGATTTATTTATTTATTTATTTATACAAGCACTGGGTACAGTGCCGGGGATCTAACCGGCACTGCAGAGGCTGCAGGCAGCTTCGCAGCCCAGTGCTCAACCGCTGCACCACCGGGGGGGCCCTAGCTTACTTTTTCAATTAAAAAAAAAAGTAAGGGGGCAAAGATCAGTAGACCTGCAGGTGGAACTCAATATGTAACACAATTGATTTCATTTCCTCTAGCTCCATTGCTTACAAAGTTAGATGGGACTTGATTGATACTGAGATCTTAGTATCTACTAGGCTGCTTCAGGTAGACTGTGCAAAACTTGACAGAGTGTGCTGCATATGGACCATTGGTGAGCCTTAGCTACTAATTCCCTCTGTAATAAGGTGGCAGCATGCTCCAGGGCAGCTATGGTTATTCAATCACAGCCTCACTAATTAGCCCAAATATTCTTATTCACAAATATTCTCATTCTCTGTGTGTGCCAAATGTAAAATTTTGTAAAGTCTGTGGTATAATATCATCTACTCATTGTCAGATTCTTAATAGTTTAAATTTCAGTACAAATTTTAAACATGATCACTGGAAAAATTTAGGACTATTCTTATGATACATATGAATGCATAAAATTTGTAACAGCTATATCAAACTTAGGAGTTTTGAATTTCTTTCCAGTGTGATGATTCTCTTTTAACTCTATGTAACCACAGCAACACTGCAGAGGATGGATGTCTTACATTACCAAAGAGGCAGAAGAGACTGAAAATGTGACTCCTTTATGAAATTATCATATATGTTCTAATTAAAACAGCTCTTTTTAATCCATTTTATTACCTGATATTCCTATGAAAAATTTCATCATCACAAAACTAAATAATTTTGATTTTATCAAAAGTTTACAAAGTTATAAAGTTAAGATATACTTAATGAAAATCTTTAAGGTGTTAGACTATCACTTTTATTATTCAGTAGCACGTTTATCAGGATATTTCACAATAACTCTAAACTGTACATTGAATTCTTTGTTCATCTGAGTAATGCCACAGCTAGCCTCTAGTCTTTACTCATTTTATAGTTAACTTCATAGTGTGAAATGACTTAGTTGAGTTGCAAGTTACACACATTCAGTTTCCAAATAATCCTGATTCCTATTATCTTTAAAATGCCTATAATGTAAAGAGTAGCAAGTGATGGGACCCTGAAAGATTCCTGGAGGTAAGAATCAGCATTTCTAAGAAATTTATAAACCTTTATATAGTTATAATATTGGAGGTGTCAAGGGGAGAAGACATTATTGAACTCATCAAATTTCTTTTCACTCGAGACCACACAAATGGAAATGAAGAAAAGATCTCCAACTTCTATGATCACTTCTTTGGATATGATGGATGATGCTACCATCAGATATGAGGAAGGTAAATTAATAACTGTTAAGACCCAATGGAAGATATTATTCATATGATTTAAAGAAATTCTACAATTTCTTTGGAATTTTAGATGAAAATAACTAAAATTTAAAGAATAACATGAGGCTATAAGAATGAACAATATATAAGAATTATATGAACATAGTGTTTTTAACATTGGAAAGGGTGACCAAAGAGTGCCAAGAAATTTTATTTGTTTAGCATTGATAATGGCATAGAAGTGCTAACTTCTGGCTGAAAATAGATGTTGGAGTATATAGCATTAATGTATAAGGTCCTTTCTATGTTTGTTTCTGCCTTTTTTTTTACTTGTAACCAGAAACTATAGCCAACATTGAAATGTATTATTATGTAAAGCATGTAAGTCTAGAAATTATAAATCATTTGTTTTCTTGAGATCTATTCCTGTGTTTTGCTTCTAATGCACAATATGTCTTAATGTGTTTGCCTAATTGCAAGCATAAACAAAATATAGCGAATTTACTTTGTTCTGTTTATCAGTATAACATATTTCTGTTTACTAATTCCAAATCCAAAGTCCAATTTCAAACCTCTCTTTGCATGCAGAAGTCAAATTTTTCTATTAGTTAGAACTTAAGTAAACAATTTAATAATTTTTAATTTTTCTATTCTAACATTTCAGAATTTAAAAAATCCAGGAAGAGATGCCCATTGTGTTGGCATAAATTTGCTAAAACTTTCTTGATCTGGGACTGTTCTCCCTGTTGGTTGAAATTGAAAGAATTTGCCCATATGATTATAATGGACCCATTTACTGATCTCTTTCTCACCATATGCATTATTGTAAACATACATATTTTGGCCTTGGAACATTATCCAATGAGTGAAGAAACAAGCTGTGTTCTCAGCATTGGAAACCTGGTAAGGCTATCATTGTACATCATTTTCATTTGCAATTTCAACTATTCTTAAGTCATTTGCATTATATTACTTTATTTTATAATCTAAATGTGTTGCAAATGCATTATATTAAAATTGAATGGAGTTCTGTGTTCATGCTTACCCACCCCAACACCCCCTTCTTTGTAACTGTTCTTGTTTTGAGTAAGTTTTATAGCTAGAATTTAAAATTCTGTTATTTAAATTTAGGATTTTCACCAGCTGCTAGGGAGTTATTTATTTCCTTTCCTTCCCAAATTACCCCCTCTTGGTGCCACGGGCCCTACTTCACAGTAGGGCAGGTGAAATAACAGACACAAGTTCTTACCTGATGCCAGAATTCTGAAACCTTACTACAATTGCACCTGACCCTGTCTGCTCTAATCACCTGTCTTTGCCTTAGCTTGGAACTTATCATTTTGGAAAGGTATTTTTGAAATTCACCTATCATTTTTTTTACATACAATGCGAAAGGTAAAACAAATTTCTTGGATTTCAGGTCACTTTCGAATAAATGCGTATTGCTTAATTTTATTTGCTTTTATTATTGTTGTTTAGTACTAATAGAAATCATCATATTGCTACCAGCTTTAAATTATATATTTACTGCATACCAAATAGGCAATTTACTTATTTCTTCCAGTATAGTTTTCAACACACAATTTCTGTAAGTCTACTCTTTGGGGGTAGGGGAATCATATATATATAATTTTTTAAATTATTTTACAATTAAAAAATTAAATATCTTAACATATACTACATATCCCAACAGGAACTATTTCAAATAAAAATATTTTAACTATCAAATAGTCTTTCGTTTTCTTCCAGGGTGGCTTTTATTAAAATAATTTGAGATTCTATATATAGTGTCTAACATTAGATTGTTAAGTAAAAAGTATGAGTCTGTCCTTGTAATACAGCCTCCAAAGCTATGAAGGACTACAGAGGCGTGCCAGTAAAAAGCTACAATGTCCACATCTGAGAGTTCTTATCAGACTGTTAGAATCATATTCACATTCATGTGTTTGTTTTTATTTAGGTGTTTATTGGGATTTTCACAACAGAAATGATTTTAAAAATCATTGCCATGCATCCATATGGGTATTTTCAAGTAGGCTGGAACATTTTTGATAGCCTAATTGTGTTCCATGGCTTAATTGAACTTTACCTAGCAAATGTTTCTGGATTAGCTATTTTTCGAACATTCAGACTGGTAAGTATAATCCAACACCTAAATTTTATTATATGAAGTTTTATGTGTTTCCTCAGGCATAAGATGAATAAAATAGTAATACTGTCTCATTGGGACATTAGAAATAATAAATGAATAAATTCATATATGAAGACTTTAGAAAGTATCCAAGGAAATAGTAAGTATTTAAAGGAAGTAAACCATATATGCAACTTGAGATGGGGAAGCAGGATCAAAGTTACTAAGTCCCAGAATCTACAGTCCAGTGTGTAACTAAGGAACTAGAATAGGGTATTTCTAAATGTAGCATAAAAAGCTTAATGAAAGAAGATCAGTAAAGTCAGCAGAAGGTGATTATGAAAATTATTAAATAAGAATCAGTGTATGTTTGTAATACAGATTGGTGGTGAGACTCAGAAAATTGGGCAAGAAAAGAAAGTGATTAGATCGATATTTATGGAAATGTAAAACTGATAAATAATATATTGTCATATTCTGATAACATTCTGATGGAATGTGCAGGAATCAAGACAATTAAGTAGATTTGATCTTATCCAAATAATTCTTTAGAACCCTGTTTTAAATCCACATCTATAAACTTTTCTAATGAGCAAGGGAATTATATACAAGATATATTTATCAAATTTATGGTTATAACAAAAGTGGAAAATGCAAAATGTGATGAAAAGATAGCATCAAAATGTCTAAAAGGCTAGTAATACACTGAATTTAAGATGATTATGTTTTATTTATTTATTTATTTTTTAAGAGTTAAGTCTTTTTTTTTTGAAGATTTATTTTTATTTATTTATACAAGCACTGGGTACAGTCAGAAGTGCAGGAGGGTGAGAGAATTCATGAGAGCCAGAGCGGGGAGCAGAGCAGGCAGAAGGACCTAAGTACACTGCTGAGGGGAGCAGCAGGCAACAGGAGAGGTCTGCGCGCCATATGGAACCCTCCTCCGGTGGCTGGGGAGCAGCCAGGGATCGAATGGGCACTGCAGAGGCTGCGGGCAGTTTCGCAACCCAGCGCTCAACTGCTGTGCCACCAGGGAGGCCCAAGATGATTATGTTTTTTTTTTTTTTTTTTTTATAGAGGCATGTTTTTATTTATTTATTTATTATATTTGTTTGTTTTTTGTTTATACATGCACTGGGTACAGTCAGAAGCGCGGGAGGGTGAGAGAATTCACCAGAGCCAGAGCGGGGTGCAGAGCAGGCAGAAGGGCTGAAGTACACTGCTGAGAGGAGCAGCGGGCGGCAGGAGAGGTCTGCGCACCATGTGGGATCCTCCTCCGGTGGCCGGGGAGCAGCCGGGGATCGAACCGGCGCCGCAGAGGCCGCGGGCAGCTTCGCAACCCAGCGCTCAACTGCTGTGCCACCAGGGAGGCCCAAGATGATTATGTTTTACATTGGATAAATGTGAAGTCCTACTCTTGAGTTCAAAAAGTCAATATTGGTATTAAAAATAGTTGGGGAGGGCCTCCCCGGTGGCGCAGCGGTTGAGCGCTGGGTTGCGAAGCTGCCCGCGGCCTCTGCGGCGCCGGTTCGATCCCCGGCTGCTCCCCGGCCACCGGAGGAGGATCCCACATGGTGCGCAGACCTCTCCTGCCGCCCGCTGCTCCCCTCAGCAGTGTACTTCAGTCCTTCTGCCTGCTCTGCTCCCCACTCTGGCTCTGGTGAATTCTCTCACCCTCCCACGCTTCTGACTGTACCCAGTGCATGTATAAACAAAAACAAACAAACAAACAAATAAAATAAATAAATAAATAAAACATGCCTCTATAAAAAAAAAAAAAAAATAGTTGGGGAAACTATAGCACATATAAAAATGATGGGTTCCAGATGACTAAACTTACTGAAATATAGTGGCCAAAATGTGAAGGTAATATTGTGCTGAGTCAATTGAAATAAAAAAAAAAAAAAAACTAGTGAAAAGAAGGGAACAATTCATACTAGACTTAGAATACTGCGTTTGGTCTTCAAAAAGTTACTTTAAAAGGGCAATACAGGGCTTCCCCTGGTGGTGCAGCGAAGCTGCCCTCAGCCACTACAGTGCCGGTTTGATCCCTGGCCGCTGGTGAGGGTCCCACATGGCGTGACAGACTTCTCCTGCCGGGCCCACTGCTCCCCTCAGCAGTGTATTTTGTCAGTCTGCCTGTTCTGCTCCCCGCTCTGGCTCTGTTGAATTCTCTCACCCTCCTGCACTTCTGACTGTACCCAGTGCTTATATGAATAAATAAATCTTAAAAATAAATAAATAGATACATAGATAGATAGATAGAGAGAGAGAGAGAGAGAGAGATAGATAGATAGATAGATGGGCAATACACTATGGAAAATTCTGTGAAACTTGACATACTTTTTCAGTGTCGTCTGTATATTCAGAATGTGGGGAAATATCCAATGTATTGTGAACAACAAACAAAAAATAGATAGTTGTTTGACCAATTATTAAAATATGAAACTAGAGCAATTCAAAAGTGTATTAGTAGTATTATGTTGAGTAGAGAATGGAAATTAACACAACAGTAGAAGAAGAAATGTATGGATTTTGTGTGAAAATATATAGAACATGTCTGGTGCATTCAGAGTTGTACATAAAGTGAATTTTCATTGATTAGTGTTAATATTCAAAGCCGAATATTAAGAACTATATGTAAGGATATAATGCTGATAAAAATTTTAAACATGCATTGTAAAATAGTGACCAAACTTTCTGCCATTTGTTTCTTTTTCTTCTTGTTTTTTTTTTTTTTTACGTTGCTCTATTAGTTGAGAATTTTCAAGTTGGGAAAATACTGGCCAACATTTAAGATTCTGATGCTGACTATTAGTAAATCATTGGCGACACTGAAAGACTTGGTCCTGCTCTTGTTCATCTTCACATTCTTTTCTGCTGTGATTGGTCAGAAACTACTTGGGTTTTATTACCAAAAAAATGTCTGCAATATAAGCGAAGACTGTCTACTTCCTCGCTGGCACATGGTTGATTTCTTCCACTCCTACCTGATTGTGTTCCGGATCCTCTGTGGAGAGTGGATAGAGACTTTATGGGATTGCTTTAAGGTAGCAGGCCAGTTCAGTTGTGTTCCTTTCTACATGATGGTCATTTTAATTGGAAACTTACTGGTAAGTAATCCACACTTTCAAATTTTCTTTAAAAACTAACATAATGTAGTCTGATATCATTCTAAAGTGAATTTATGGGATTCAGTGGTTTTTAACTCTGCTGTTCCATATGGTGGCCTCTAGCCCATATGGCTACAGATCAGTTAAATTATAAATGGTCCAAATTGAGAGGTGCTATAAAAGTAAAATACTCACTGAATATAAAGTCTCATAGAAAAAAAGGATTTATTTTAAAATAATATTTTGATACATTTGGTTATATAAAACACATTACTAGTATTATTTCACTTGGTTTTTGTTTATGCTTTTAATGTAGCCATGTGATGTTCATCATATTTTTTTGGATAGCACTGTTTTAAATGTTTGCTACTCCATACAGCATTGGCATCTTGTGGTAGATAGTTAATCAAATGCAGACTTTCAGGCCTCCATCCCAGACATATAGAAGCACAATCTAAATCCTAGCAATATCTCTAGGTTATTTGTATGCATATTAAATTTTAAGAAGCATTTAAATATAATACTCATTGTCAAACTTGGCTGTACACTATGATTACCTGGGGAATTAATAAAAATATATAATGTCTTTAATCTATTCCCAGATTTCTACTTTTGTTGTATGTAGGCATAACCGGGGAAGTTTCATTCTAAGAAACAGCAACAGCTTGTTAAAGAAAATTGTTCTTATAGGAAACCCCTGAATATTTGCCTTTAATCATAAGTCATAGCAATCAAGTATATTTCCCAATAAAACTGAAAAAAAGTGCACAGACTAGACTCAGTTGTATCAGTACCCTTCCTCATTGCTTCTATTTCGACTCAGATATGCCCCTGTGTTATATTTACCACATTGGGATTATATTTGCATATCTACTTATATATCTTTGTTATTAAGTTCTGTGAGGAAGAGATCTGACTTTCTCTATTTCATCTCTATTTCATCAAACGAGTGCCTAAATGTAAAAATATTTCAATATTCTTTGCCTTTGTAACTATTTGTAAACTTTCTAATGCAACTGACTTAAAACAGTATTCTAACTTATAGAAATAAAATTATATATACATATCTGCATATATAACTCACAGAATTAAAGATTGATCTCATTTCAGTTGTTGTGATTCAGATATTCAATGAGATTATTAGAGGTAGCGCTATGTAGATCTCAGATCTGTTTTTCTCTATGCCGCTTAGTGATTGGTTGCCTCTGTTGGTCAGATAGCTACTAAATTCTAAAGCTTCATGTCTTCATATCATATCAAGTGTGACAGAAGAGAAAATTTTTAATCTTCCCTAGAAGCAAAGCAAATATCTCCTATTGTTTCATTAATTCTCCATCACATGCCCATTCCTGAACCAATCTCTATAGGCCAAGGTATGGATTTCATTTGTTGTTTATTCCCAATGCTGTGGAGTATATTAACACAGTTTATTTTGTTAAGCTACTTAGACCCCTCCCTTGGAACTGGAGATGGTATCAATTCAAACCTGAAGCATATAACTCATAATAGGATAAGGTTGACTTCCTAAATAGAATGTGGGTTTCCAAAACCAAAAGGAAGGGTCAATACACAGAAATGAATTCAAAGGCAAAAATACAGAAATGCCATGGCAATTATGTAATTTAATTTCTGGGGGTTTTTTTGTTGTTGTTTTTAAACTTCACTTTATTTCTTATATTCTTACTTTAACTGATCAGAAATTTCAAGTCAATATCAGAGAGATTTCAGGATACAATGGAGTTACACAAACAGCCATCTATAATTATTTGGCTTCCATATTGCTTAGCTCACTAAATGTTTTAAGATTTATTCCTCTCAATGGTCATCATGGTAATAACACTAATGTAAATACAGGAAGAAAAATACAAGGAGAGCATTTGTGAGATTGTATACCATTTTACGCCATATAATTTCAATTCTCTGCGTTAGAGCTTTGCAATTTTACATTGACGCTTAGCATTGGTGCGAACAGAAGGCATTCTGCATTTTTTAAATTGAATTTTATCTTATTCCTCCAATAAAATTCCAACAGTGATTCAGAACCTTAAGTGGAAACCTCAAAAGTAATCATCTTAAATAAAAGCAAGTATTTATAGTGCTTTTTAAATAGTTCTATGCAATGTTGAGTTCTAGGCAAAATAGAGTTTATATTCAAGCAAACATAGGCTCAAATTCCAGTTAAATCATTTCTAAGAGACTGTACATATTAAATAACCTCTTTAAGGTTGACAAGCTTAAGTTTTAAAAGGATAGTGATAGAATAATATGTGTCTTGTATAGTCATTGTAATTTTAATAAAATCTTCTAGCATTCTGTATTTATAGACAATTATTTAAATTTCCTTAAGTTCTAAAAAACTATAACTCCTGAATATCCAGAATATTGTTATTTATTTAATGTATCCTTCAGTTAGATAACATTTCCAGGTGTTTTATCTGCATATAATACAATATTATAGCATTTTTCCCTTGTCCAAACCCTGCCACAAAACCTATTCTTTCATTTATTCCATAATGAATTAATTTTTTCAAAATATTTATCACCTATTGTGATAATGCCTAGTACTGTGCTAGTTGACTGTTTAAGAGAAAACACTATTCTTGGCCAAAAGAAGCTAATAATCATGAAATTTTAACCTTTTACAATTTTCCTTATTTCTCCATGCTCTAATACTTAACCAAAGAAATGAGGGAAAAGAACCAACTATCTTACATTATATTTGTTATTACCCTCTCATACTCCTGAACTCATTGTCCTTTGAGGTTGATGAAAGTGCTAGTAGTTCAGCTCCTACAAGGGCCATAGAACCCTAGATTACTTGAAAGTAAACCTTATTGTCAACTGAGAACCATCATACTAATGATGGTGAACCATCATACTAATCTCTGGGAGTATGGACATTTGATCATTGTCTTTTCATTCAGTTTTATTTTTTATACTCTCAGATTCAGTCAATGCAATTACAGAAAATGTGTCAACTGTTTAGATGATCTTGCCTATAAGAAACTTCATTTTTTTTCGTTCTTACCTAAAGAAATTTCCAATGTAGATCCATCTTCTACCCTATATTTTATTAGTAAACCAAAACTATAATAAAGATTAAGATTACCTATTTGACTTTTTCCTTCTGGCTTATTTCACTGAGCATAATTCCTTCTAGCTCCATCCATGTTACTGCAAATGACATGAGTTTATATTTTTTGATTGCTGACTAATATCCCACTGTATATAAATACCACATCTTCTTGATCCAGTCATTATTTTTGGGCATTTGGGTTGTAAAAAATTATCAGATGGTTTCACTTATGACAGAAATGTAGGGGAACCAAATAAGAAATCAGTGTAAAAAATAATAATAACAGTACAAAACAAAACAAAGCAAAAACAGACAATTACAAATCAGACATACTGCAGGGTAGGAGGAGGGAGAGGGATCAGGTAGAGGAAGGGAGAACAGGAGACTGTGGTGATGGTGCACAGGTGCCTTGGGGAAGGAAATTCTATGGGCACTCAACCTGAGGGGGTGGGGGGAAGAAAACATTGTTTAAAAAAATTTTTTTTTTAATTAAAAAAAAAAAGATTACCTATTTGATAACTTTATTACCTGCAACAATATTTCCATTTTTGGGCTTCCCCTGGTGGCCCAGGTGGTTGAGTACCGCACTGTGAAGCTGTCCGTAGCTTCTGCAGCACCAGTTTGATACCGGCCGGTCGGTGACGGTCTCGCATGGTGCGGCAGACCTCTCCTGTCGTGCCCGCTGCTCCCCTCAGCAGTGTATTTCTTCAGTCTGCCTGTTCTGTTCCCTGCTCTGTCTCTGGTGAATCCTCTCACCCTCCCACAAATCTGGCCTATACCCTGGTTCTTGTATAAATAAATAAATAAAAATCTTAAAAAAAAACCAATATTTTGATTTTTCCATACGAGTCTTATTTGAACTTCTCTGTTCCTAAGAGATATGAAGATCTAGGTGTAGAGAAAGAACTAAAAGTAATCTGTTAGGATTGAACACTGTATGGTGGGTAGTTCATATTTTCTCAGGTATGTATGTGCATAAGAAAGAGATATTATCAGAGCATGTGAGAACTTCATCTCTTCACAAAAATCCAAAATTCTGGAGGAAGTTTTAACAAATGAGTGCTTAAAGATCTTCATATACTTAATTATTTTATGCACACATAAATTGTCATAATTATTTTTTAAGAATGGATCTTAAAATGTGAAGAAATTAGAAGTAGGTAGGAAAATAATAGTTATATAAGATACATAAATACATATTTATACACAAAAATACATAAACATATATAAATATATTCTTAAACCTAGCATATGCCATTGAACTTTCCCTTTGAAAATAATGCATAAACTATAAATTAAATCTTCATAACTCAAATATTTGAAGAGCACAAACTTCTATAATAGGCAACATGCTCACATTATTAAATTCTAAGAATAATCAATATGAATCTTTTGTTTTAGAATCAAAAAATACTATCTATATCAAGATAAAAATCTGATACTCTGGAAACTGAACATGCCTTAGTCATATTGCTCAGTGATGGTGGTAAAGGCCAATCACATACTATCTTTGAGTTGAAAATAAATTTCAAGTAATAGGAATAAACCCCCAACACTCATCTTTCCTATTTGATCAAATTAATTACCACAGAGAGTCAATTAACCTATCCAGTACCTCTGCTTGCATATCACAATGAAAATTAGAGGTGGGTTTCAAAACTAGGAAGAGCTCTCTCCTCATGATATTCCTTTCAGGATTTGCAAAACCCTTGATAATGTCATTACATATCTTCCTGGGATAGAGCAGAAGGGAAGTCTACCACCTGGAGTAGCAATTCATGTTCTCAACTTGAGAGAGGCAGCTTGGCTCTGTGAAAGAACAAGCTTTGGATTGAGACAGACTTGAGTTCAGTATGTATCACCTTGATCTGACATCAGTAAGGCTTAGCTCTTTTATCTGTAAAAGAGAAACAAATGGGGCCTCACCTGGTGGCGCAGTGGTTGAGCGCTGGGTTGCAAGGCTGCCCGTAGCCTCTGCAGCACTGGTTCGATCCCCGGCCACCGGCGAGGGTCCAACCAAAAAAAAAAAAAAAAAAAAAAAAAAGAGAGAAACAAATGATATTTCACACAACATTAAAGTGACTTGTGGCTACGCAAACCCCTCACACAGCACCTGGTCCATTGTAGATGAGTAAGAACTGAATACCATTGTTGTTCATATGCTGTTTTCAACTCTCATGTTAGCTCATTTTAAGGATTTATTTTGTTTGAAAGGAAAAAATAAAACAAGATACATTAAACTTCATCTTATGTCCTCATTTAGATACTTTACCTGTTTCTGGCATTGGTGAGCTCATTTAGTTCATGCACGGCTGAAGCAACTGAAGAAAATGATGAATCAAAAAATCTCAAACGTGCAATGGCAAGAATTAAGAAAGGAATAAACTACGTGCTTTCTAAAATATTATGCAGAAAACAAAATGCTTTAAATGAAACCATGGGCAATGCAAAAGACAAACAAGTTAAAGAAAATATTTCTGATCATACGCTTTCTGAATTGAGCAATACCCAAGACCTCTTCAAAGATAAGGAAAGAAGTGGTGGCACAGAGAAAAATACAATGACTGAAAATGAGAGCCTCTCACTAATGCCCAGTCCTAGTGTCTCAGAAACTGTGCCAATTGCTTCAGGAGAATCTGATATAGAAAATCTGGATAATAAAGAAATTCAGAGCAAGTCAGGTGATGGAAGCAGCAAAGAGGTAAGATATTTTAATTTCCTTGTTGCATATTTTTGATTACTGCATTGTTGATGAAGAAGTGAATCAATGCTTAAGTTCTAGAATTAGTACCCATTTAATCCTAGCTATTCTACTCCTTGATTCTGATTTTGTTTTTTGCTCCTGATCAAATTGCTTTGACTTTATAAGCTTCAGTTTCCTCATCTGTAAATGAAATAAGATTTCTTAGAGGGAATGGAAGAATTAAGACAAATAGCTCAAGAGTGCACGGAACAATACCCAGTATATAGTAGGCACTTAGTAAACATTGACTATAATTATAAAATTCCATAAATTAATAACAGGCAGTGAGGGGTTAATAAAGAACATAGTAAAAAAATCTAAGTTTCAAAAATCAATGTGTACTTTCCATAAACCACTAAATTTTCCTGAGCTTTGTCATCTTTAAAATGTGAGAAATGGGAACTCTAACCAAGATGAAAATGCATACATATTGCAAAAATGAAAAATGATGTAAAAAATACATAAAATTTTAAAAAATAGTAATAAAATGTGAGGTAGGCAAGGTTAGTGCTAAGAGACTTTCATGCTTGCTTGCTAAAATGCTAAGATAATATATACATAATTCAAATGGACTAAAAGAAGAAAAGCTACCAGTTTGAATTGAATTGTGAAAAACTTTTAACTTTATAAAGCACCTGGCCAAAAAATAAAGGAGGGAGAGGTCACAGTTTTAGCTTCTAAACCATAAATCCTCCTGCGTTCAGTTTTACTGTCTTCATTTGCAAGTTGCATAATGTCTTAGTAGGAGGTGTGATTTAAGTTAGCTACATTTATAGGAATCACATGAGCACCAACGCCTTCTTGCTTTGGGCCTCACTTTTCTCTCATCTCATCACTCACAGGCCCTGCAGAGGAGCAGAGAATGTCTCTTTCCAGGTCCCCAAAGTCTCTGGCATGATCTTGTCTTTCAGATTTTTTCGGGTTAGGAAACTGCTCTCAGCAGGAACTTCTCAAATTGGCCTTCTAACAGGAATTAAGTTGGAATTATTCAAAATTCTTGAAGTTCCCAGTAAAGGCATCTTTGTTTTAAAGAAACATTTTCACTCCTTAGCACACCTAATATTCTCATTATTTTCCTTTAATTAATATTCTTAACATAAAACAGGAAATTTCCTCAGTAGCACACTTCTCCATCTTCATTGAGCTACATCTGCTTCTAGTAAAATAGCTATTTATGAAAGTAGATGTCAAAAAAGTTCTTTCCAATCTATTAAAGAGTCTGTGTTATGAAAACATAGGATAGATAGAAGATAACATGAATATTGAGGTTTAGGAAGTTGTCATTTATAGAGCATTATTTAGTCCTGTTGATTGGTTAACTACTCACAGGAGATTTATTCACTAATTGTTTATTATGACTTATTTACTTAGTATATGCTGCGTATTTAAGACACTGAGTATTTATGATGACTGAGTATTTAAGAAGTTGATCTACCAAAGCCAAAAATTTGTTATGAAATTCACATGCTCTGGGGCCTCCCCGGTGGTGCAGCGGGTTGAGCGCAGCATTGTGAACCTGTCTGCAGCCTCTGCAGTGCCAGTTCAATCCCCGCCGGCTGGCGAGAATCCCACATGGCACAGGAGACCTCTCCTGTCACGCCCACTACTCCCCTCAGCAGTGTATTTCTGTCGTCAGACTGTTCTGCTCGCTGCTCTGTCTCTGGTGAATCCTCTCACTCTCCCACACCTCTGGCCTGTACCCCAGCTCTTGTATAAAAATAAAAGAAATGTTAAAAAAAAAATATTTATTAAAAAAAAATTTACATGCTCTGATAATTTGAAGATACATTATACTATTGTTTCTTTGGTATTTAAACTGTCATAATTTTTTATTGCAAATATTTAACTGTATAATTTTTCTAACTATAACATCAAACTTTCCTTTGGTTTTGTAACTTGTTTTTTTCATAATAAATAAGGTATTACAGTCACTTTCTCATGCCATTAAGTAATCTACTAAAATACCATTAAGTAAGCTACTATAAATTTTGATCTTAATTGATTTATTTAAAAATTTGGAATAATATATACTTTCAGGGTTTTGGGAAAAATCTCATCAAATGGTGTAAGAATTCTAAAAACCCTAAATTATCACATAATGTGCATAATTTTCAGTTATTGAATACCCAAGCATTATAAAAGATTCATTTACAGTGTTTACTCCCAAATCAGTACATTGCTAGACTTTCACTAAAAATAAATAAAATATAAAGGGAACTTAAAAATTAAAGAACATTTATTGAGAATAATATCCTGCTGTATAGTTTTTTAAATTGAGCACCATAATATCTGTCAATTGGCCATATAATATCTGAAGCAAACAAAGTTTCCTAATTATGTTTCCTTGACACTTATTATGCATAAAAGGTAGGACAAAATATTTATAATTTCATTCTTTGTATGTTCTACCTAGTTCCTTAACTTTTAAGAATGAGAGTGGTTTGCTTCCAAAAGTTTTAATATGCCCACCTTGATTTTATTAATTAGAAGATAATTTTATAACCTATCAAATTTAGGATCTTAGCCATTTAAGGTAAAGTAAGCCATTTTAAGGTATTATATGTTATATATTCATTTTTAAATAAGGTAAAGGAAAGCAATGTGAGAAAATCATTTTAAGTAAAGGCACTAACATTTTTGCATGTTCAAAGCCATTACTACCATACTCTTAGTTTTTTAAATATCTTTTTTTTCTGAGTTAATATTAATTTACATAGTTCCATAAAGGTAGTATAGAAACTCCCCTTCAAGTATTGTTGCCATAGTGTGCCCACCACCAATGACCCCATGGACCTAGACATTCTCGAATTTCAGTCAAGAGCAAGGTGGAAGGACTCTCAATTCCTGCAACTAGCCATTTTCCATATGTTGGTACCACTTCCCCTAGTCTCTTCTTGGCCCTATTTCTTGTGCCGTTCTTCACTTCACTTCAGGATAATCTAGCATCAAACCTGTAATGACATACATAAGAATGTCTGGAATGAATTTTAAAGTAAAAACTATGTGCACAATTATTTACCCATCTTTTACATCAGGGGTGATTTATTCCAATGCTGCTCATCTAATTGAAATGCAATGTACTAGAACCTTGTGAATAACTTCAAGAAAGTTTTGGAACCAGCATCCTTTTAGAAATTGGAAACAGTCTATACATCTTTTGGGGATAAAAGTATTGTAAACATAATATTTATTTCAATTTAAAATTATTTTAGCTTAAATTGCATATTTTAAAATAATTTTAAAGGCTCTCAATTTGTGAAGATATGTACGTACTTTAATATCAAACATGAAATTGGCCTAAATTCTTTTAAACCTGATAGTAGTCTTTTGTACATAATTTTTCTTATTTCTGAAAATGGAGTAAACTTTTACTGCAGTGAGTAAATTAAACTAAGTTTTGGGGGGATTTATTTTTCAGAAGGTTAAGCAATCTAGCTCATCTGAATGCAGTACAGTTGATATTGTTATCTCTGAGGAAGAAGAAATGGTCTATGAACATGAAAAGTCAAAGCATTTTAAAAAAGGTAAGAAAAAAAATGTCCCTTTGGTCGTTGAATTTCTTTTAATTAAATAGTGCTGTAGATTATAACTTTAGCATTTATTAACTTGACAAAGCAATATACACACATGAATGAATATGCTTGCACACACACACACACACACAGAGAGATTCACACTGCATGTGCCTATATGAATACTGATAGAATCGTGCAATAAATGTCAAGGAAATAAAATTTGCACTCAGAAAAGAGGGACCTATTCCCAGAGAGTCTATTGTAGTAATTTAAAGTGTTGATTCTTTAAATAGACAGCCTGAGTCAAATACCATTCCACTACTCACTAGCTGTTTCCCTCTCTCTGACTCATTCCCTAATCTATAAAATGAGGATAATGCTAAGATTCACCTCATGGGATTGTTAAAAATATCAAATATACATGTATGTCTCTATGTGTGTGTAATCTTAGAAGAAAAAGATAAAATTTTTAAAAATTAAAGCAATCCAATCATCATCAACATTACCATCATCCTACTTCATAACTCAACTTGCAGAGTATAGTTAATGCAAAAAAGAACTATGAATAAGGTTATGTTATTGTTAAGATTGATTGTATTGATAATAAATATATTGATAATATTGATTGTAAAATGCATTTTTCATGCTGAAATAGATTCAAATTAAATTCAAATAAAATTTAATGTAACTATGTAACTAGTTATCATAGTAACTGATAACTATGTAACTTTGCATCAGAATAGAGAATGCTTTAGGAATAAAATGTAAAATTAGTGTAAGTAAACAATATTGGAAAAATGTATATATACAAGTGAAATAAAAACATCATGCCTCATGGAATGGAATCAGTATTTAAAACACTCATATGAAAACATCCATTAACTTTCATAGGAAAGCAAATCATATAATGATGACTTTTTATACTTACATGAATTTTAAGAAATGCATGAGATTTCAGTAAATGGGCCTATTCACTCAATATGTGTAACAAGCATCTCTCGATGACTTAAAATTCAAATTAGCTTCCTAACAAGATTAATAAAGAACTACAGGTTCTAGACATTGGACTGGAAATCATTAGAATGGCAACTACCAAATGTTCAATATTCTGATAATCAACATAAGAATCTGCTCTCAGGACTGAATTCTAGAACACGTATCATTCAAGACATTTCTTTCTTTTTTTTGTACCAAAAATGTATACAATGACACTAGACAAAAATCCTAAAATAAAATGTGTTGACTTTATTTTTTTTTTGCAGTAACATTGATTTATAGCACTGTACATGATTTAAGGGAATAGGTTCACACCTCTTCATACAACACCCACCACCAAAATACCCTTAGTCCTCCATTATAAACCTCTAGAATTCACTCCCCCTTGAATTCTACAGTCATATTTCTGGGGATTTTCATCTATTTTTACATCTGAGAAGTATTCCACCATGTATGTGTCCCATGTCTTCTTTATCCACTGGTTGGGCATGTTGGTTGTTTTCCTAACTTGGCTATTGTAAACAGTAAATATTGTAAATAGTGTTGCAAAATATTAAAATTCAACATATATCTATTTCTTTTCTCATCATTAGTTCTATTCTCAAACCTTAGATTTTTCTTATGCTAGCCCTCTTTACCAGAAGGTAGAGTTTAAATCTATTCACTTCTACATTACCCACAAAGTAATTCACAATCCAGGTTAGTTCCTTCAATAGTCTCTATCAAAATTCTCATTCCCACGCCACCTAAGAACTGGGGTTAATATAATTGACTTAAGTGACATTATACTCCCCTAACATCTCCTAACTATTTGTGTTTTAAAATGGTAATTCTTACTATGACTTGTGGCTCTGCAGAGGGTGAATTTTCAGGCATTATTCCAAAATGTGATCTCTGTGTGTGTGTGTTGGTGTGTTATAGGGGATAAATTCTATTCTCAGACTCTGTTCTTTGGGGTGAGAGCATACTCTAAGTCATCCATGTCTTTCATAATTTCTCTCCTACTACTATTATCAAACTCACAAGTTAGGTTTTTCCCTTTTTCAACCCTCCATGATTACAGTGGTTGCTATAGCAGGGACAAAAATCAAATGTTTATATATCAGAGACCATGTATTAGATTCTATAATAAAGAATTGTTAAGATAGAAAGATTAAGATATTTTTTACAGGAGTTTTTTAGATTTTTGTTCCTAACAGTTTCATTCGTGACAGGTTACAGGCAAAGATCTTCACTGGGCCAAATCAGTAGAGAATCCAAGAAGGGGAAAATTTGGCAGAACATAAGAAAAACCTGCTGCAAGATAGTAGAAAACAGTTTTTTTAAGTGCTTCATTGGCCTTGTCACTCTGGTTAGCACAGGTGCTCTGGTAAGTGAAAATGTGTTATGTTAATGGGAAAAATGTTTAATGAATGTTTTTCAATTCATAAATTCATGGGTCAAACTATTTTCCCCATAATACTTATCATTAACCAAATTTTGTATTCTGTGATTTTAGTTTTGGAAAATATACATTATGCCTTCTTAGAAAGTCTATACATGTATATATGCCTCATTCAATATTATGTAAATAGTGCAATTTCGGATGATATTATATGAATGACAGTGAGAAAAAGGAATGTTGGACAGTGAGAAATGGATACCTAACTATTTATTTTAATAAAATTTGAAAGTTTAATATATGTTGTATTGTACCTGTACTTAGGTACCTATTCAATAAGGTAAGAGAAGTGTTACATATCCTGTTAAGGATGTTTGAGCTATAAATATATTTACCCATTGATTAAACATTCTTAATTCCAGGAAATTATCTTGCAAATATCTACATAAGTATTAAAAGCATGTATAAGGTTAGTCACTTAAGAGTTTTGTTTGAAATAGCAAAAAGTGGAAAAGGAAAAAAAGTCCATAATAGGTGACTATTTGGATATACTATGTACAATCAATGTGGAATACTGGACAACCATTTAAAAATACAAACTGTCTACATGCTTAATAAGTGACACAGAGAAAGATCTAGAATGAAGAATGTGTCATGCTATATTTTATATAGGGATGGAAGAAAAGTAGGAATGTATATGGGTATTTACTTGTGCTTGATTAAAAATCAAAGAGTAGAGAATAGTTATTTGTGAAATATATAGAAGAGAGGAGATGAAGAGTCATGGTTGAGAACTATACTTGGGGCTGTATGTGTATTTCTTAAGTAAACTTAATATTGACATTTAGCCAAGATACTGAAAACCGTATGAATCATAAGTGTAAAGCATAGAGGAATTCACAAAGTGAAGGTACCTGTGTAACTACTGCCTGACAAGATATTATGTTACCTAGACTCCAGAACCATACTCTGATTCCTAAGTCACTTCCCTACTCTACACAAATAGCTAATTTGATCTTCAATTGCTACAGATCCATTTGACCCATCTTAAGATGAAGTAGGGGGTTCTGTGTATCTTTTTATGTTATTTTGCATTACTTACCTATTCAAAAAATAAGTACATATAATAAAATAAGATACTTTAAATAACTTTAAATGATATTTTAATTGCTTATGAAGATGCTTTTACTCCCTAACTTGTTCAATTAAAAGTAACTAATGCTATTATTATTTTATATTTACTTTTGTTTTACAGGTTTACAAGAATCACACAATTCTTTACATAAAATTAGTTTAATCCTTGTTTACTTTTTGACCTTGAATGCATGCTGACACAAGTCTACCTGAAGTCATTGGTATCTTAATGCCTATTTTGAGTGCTAAGATAAAAGCAACATGAAATTGCTTTGATTGATATTATCAGACTTTATATCCTCCACAGCAAAATTAAGATTAACCTTTTAAAATTGACCTTTGAAAAAACAATTATAATTTTCTTTCATATTCATGTTTCCCTCAGTTTATCTGATTATTTCTGCAGTACAGCAAAATTTATGACATTTTTGTTACAGTACTATGGATTTCTGGAAATACTTTGTTTCTCTCCTAGCAAAGAACATATCTATCTATAAATTGGCTACATGGAATGAAAGATAAGAAGCACATTAGATGTGACTAAAAGTTCTGTCTCTCGGAATGTGTTTCATCAACTGATTTGAGAGATGATTTTTGGATCACTACTTAGGCCACTTGTGACACCAAGTTTAGTCTTGATAAAATGTTCTCCATTCAGTTAATGATACCTGCTACAGCATGGGATCAGAAAATGATATTTAGGGAATATGTGATAAATACACACAAGTGAACCAGCAGTTGAACCAGCAATGGTGACATTGCTCACTATCTAGATATGGGAATTCATTTCCATCTTTGCTAAAAGAATTTCTAGAAATTACATGTACACTAATCCTGATTGTTTTTCATTCACAGGCTTTTGAAGATATATATATTGATCAGAGAAAGACTATTAAAATCTTATTAGAATATGCTGACATGATCTTCACATACATCTTCATTCTGGAAATGCTTCTGAAGTGGATGGCATATGGTTTTAAAGCCTATTTCAAAAATGGATGGTACAGGCTAGACTTCATGGTTGTTATTGTACGTATTTAAAATAAAAATTTAAGGACTGTTAGATTTACTCTTCCTTTTTACTCTTTTCTCAGGTAGCATTCCATTACTTACATCTTCCTTTTCCCTCCGTCCGTACATTTTCAGTCACCAACTTTCCCTTATTTCTTTATTTGTAATGTTTAACATCTTTTTTTTCTCATCCTAAAATTTTAAAAATTCAACACTTCATGACTGATTATCCCAACAGTCACATATGAACCCAACTCAAAGATGAGGCTTATTGTCCAGTATCCTGAAAATATCCCCATCCTAAAATCTCTAAATGTTGTTAACTTGACTTTTCAATGATATAGTCAGAATAAGACTTCTTATCATAACCTTCACCATTATCAGTGGTCCAAGCTACCAAAGCTTCTCATTTGAATGACTGCAATAGATTCCCAACTAACAGTATTGTTCCCACCGCTGCATGCCTATATACTATTCTCCACATGGCAATCAGTTACTGAAGTCAGTGGCAGTCACTTGTCTTCTGGAACCCTTTAATAAACACCCCATCTCACTTAGTGTAACAGCTAGGATCTTTGCAACCAAAGGCCCACAAGTCTCTACATGATCCAACCCAGCCTCTTACTGTTCTCCCTAACTTCCCATCCTGTTCTCTGTACTGCTTCACCATCTTATGATGCTCCTCATACCTAACAAGATTAATTCCTTCTTAGTACCTATGCACTTATTCATCCTTCCACTTGGAAATTCTGCTGGCTTACATCATTTATGTCTTATTTAAACTATTGAATTTAGGTCTTTCCTCACTACCTTATTTAAAACTGCAATCATCCCAATGCTTCCTTTCCTTTCTCTGCTTTCTCATTGCCCAAGCATCTGTTAATGTAATTTATTTATTGATTTTGCTTATAACCTTCTCTTCCACCACTAAGATAAGTTCAACTAAGGTGGAAATTTTTCTGTTTGGTTCCCTCCTTTGTTCCCTCCTTTATTCCCTGTACTTACAACAATTCCTGTCACACAGTAGGTGTCACTTTTTGTTAAATGAACAAATGGCTCCCTGTTATATAAGCAATGATTAAACCTTCTCAACCTGTAAATAACAACTTATAATATTTGTCCTCTGCTTTCTAAATTAATTTTTGTGGATTTACCAACTCTAACAACCACACTGCACCTACAACCCATCTTTCTGCTTCCTGACCACTGTTCTTATGTGTCCACATCCTTTTATGCTTACGTAAATGATGATATCCTCACTTCAGAGCCCACTTCAAGACCATCTCTTTAGTATAGGATGAAAAACAACAACTTTTTTATTTATGTTACCATGAAAGTACTGAAAATATGAAGATACAATAAAAAAAATCATAACTCGGGCCTCCCTGGTGGCACAAGGGTTAAGACACAGCCTATGAAACTATCCACAGCCACTGCAGCATGAGTTCAATCCCTGGTCAGGGAGCTACCCACATGGTGGAGCAGACCTCTCCTGACTCGCCTGCTGCTCCCCTCAGCAGTATATTTCAGTCAATCTACCTGCTGCTCCCCTCAGCAGTATATTTCAGTCAATCTACCTATTCTGTATTCCACTCTCTGGTGAATCCTCTCATCCCCCACACCTCTGGCCTGTACCCCAGTTCTTGTATACATAAATAAATAAAGCTTTAAAAAAAAATCATTACCACTTTGCTTGACGTCCATTAACTTTTATCATGCTTGAATCATTTTTATGCATGTATATTTATTTTAAAATTAGTGATTTAGTACACCTTTTTGTAATTTATACTTGTACAAAACAATATTCATATTCTCCTTGATCCCTCTCATCTGAAATCCTATTTTGTACATTGTCTAAACCATATTTATGCATGGGTCTATATAAATATATGCCAAACTTTATCTTAATAAATACATGTTATACTATTATTATATTGCAAATAATCATTAAATTTATCCTTAATCTAATATCAAGCTAGAAAATGATTATGAATATTAATCCTTGACCATAAAGTATGTCAAATATACAAATTTTTGTTTATCTAATTGATGAGATAAAATTTTTGTTTATCTCATATAATTAACAAATATTCCTATTAACAGAAACATTTTTATTTTCTCTTTTTTGAGGTTATTTCAACCCAAAATTAATTCCTTATACTTTCTGTAAGTCATTGGTGAGATACATTAAAATCTTTTGCAAATATATCTTTGTAGACTTTGACTATGTATCTTTCCCATAATAAATGCAGTGTGTTTTATAGATTGTTTTGTTTAAAGTTAAATTTAAATAATATTCACTTTTTTCATATATATTCCTAGGTTTTTTGTCTTAGCTTAATAGGCAAATCACGGGAAGGACTAAAACCACTTACTTTCTTTAAATTTCTTCGGGCTCTCAGAGTTCTATCTCAATTTGAAAGAATGAAGGTAAGACAACAGTTTATAAATAAACCTATTGGTTTTTATTTAGGATTAGTAGGTCTCCCTAATTAGTGAATTGTAGATGTCTTCTCAGTTTTAGTAACCAACATTAATGCAAAAAACATTTTATTACTTAAATATAGGGTAAAGTTCTGCTTGTTATTAAGATTTTAGGTCTTTATTAATTATAAGATATGGAAACTAAGCAAGAAACCCCATCAGTTGAGAAAGAAAATATAGTCTCAAAAAGTAACATCATTCAGGGCCTCCCCTGGTGGCGCAGGAGGTTGAGCACAGGGCTGTGACGCTGTCCACAGACTCTGCAGCTCCAGTTTGATCCCGGCCGCCTGGCGAGGGTCCCACATGGCGCAGCAGACCTCTCCTGTCTTGCCCACTGCTCCCCTCAGCAGTGTATTTCGTCAGTCTGCCTGTTCTGTGCCCTGCTCTGTCTCTGGTGAATCCTCTCACCCTCCCGCACCTCAGGCCTGTACCCCCTTTCTTGTATAAATAAATAAATAAATCTTTTTTTTTAAAAAAAAGTAACACCATTCATAGTGTGATATAATTTCACAATACATAAAAATGCCAAATCATTATATTGTACATCAGAAGCTAAAAAAAATCTAAAATGTCAGTTATACTTCAATTTTAAAAGGAATGCCATGATAACCCACATGGATCTATTGTTATCTCAATGTTAAGTACATACTTGACAGAAAATGAAACTTTGATTGGTTAACTAACTAAAATTGTAAGAACATTTTACACACTAAGTACTTATTTATTAAAATAAAAGTTTGAATTTTAAAGTAAATTTACTTCTTTTAAAGTCACACATCACAGATTATGAGTGCTTACCAGTCCTCCCTCCCATGGATTTTTTAAAATGTCTTTCTAAAAAATGTTTAAGTATCATTGGCTTGTAACACTATATAGTTTCAGGTATCCATCATAATGAATCATATACTGTGTTAAAACCTCTTCTGGACAATATAAGGTAATCTATATAAACCATATGAAATGGTCAATCTTTGTTCAATCTTTGGAGTCCAAATCTGTAATTGAAGTCCATATAATCAAACCTGACGGTGGTAAAATAGTCTTTTACCCCAAGTAGTATAAATATGCATAAAGTGATCAAATGTATGCAGAAATAGCAGAAAACAGTCTAGTTTTACCTTTTATTTCATAACCATACATTTATGTTTATTTGCATTTTCCATTCACATAGATTAATATTAGCCTGTCTATTTGATTAATATTGCAGGATATCACATATTCAATGTAGGTAGCATCCAATAAGAGAATTATTTATGCTTAAGATGTATATTGTTTAGTTTATACACTGTATGTTAATTTAAACTGCCAATCATTAAGCCACATATAACTCTTAAATTCTTTCCATTTTGTTGAAAAATTAATGCTTTTTTGAATCTCAAAATCAGAGTGGTTATTATAAATCCAAATAGAAATATAATAATTTAAAATATATATTTTACTAAAAGCATAATTCTGATATTTTAATAGTACTATTTTTATATCATATAATAAAATATGACTATATGATATGCATGTATTTATATATACAGTATTAACTATGTTAATTATATTTTAATATATAAAAGTGCATGATAATATTTTATAGTAACATGAATCTGTGGGTCACTCATATTATAGAACTAAGTGTGATCAATCTGTTTCCCAAATGCATTTGATTTGCTGATATTAGGAAAGAAACTTTTTGAGTATGTTGTGAATACAGAGAAACTCAGTGGCTATATTCTGAGAAAACAAAAATCTAAAATATTCATCATAATTTATATTATAACATATAAACTTTTGACAATATTATGAAGATCTACAAGGTATTGATATTACCCAGTGATTTCAACCCCAAATAAGAAGGAAAATAAGTTAAAATGGAATTGCAGAGATCTGTAAGATTGAGTTTAAAATAACAACACAGCAAATTTCCCAGCACAAACAGTATAATGATAAGGAAATTTGGGCCTTCCTGGTGGTGCAGGGGTTAAAGTCTCAGTGCTAGCAAACTATCACCAACCACTGCAACATGAGTTTGACCCTTGACCTAACCCACATGGCACAGCAGACCTCTCCTGTCTTGTCCCGCTGCTTCCCTCAGCAGTATATTTCAGTGCATCTGCCTGTTCTGCACCCAACTCTGTCTCTGGTGAATCCTCTTACCTGCCCCGACCCCACACCTCTGGACTGCACCCCATTTCCTGTATGCAAAAATAAATAAAAATAAATCTTTAAAAAATAATAATAGGGAAATTTTGTACAATATTCTCGGGCTTTATACTACCCATGGCCTATTAAATCTTAGCTGCTGAGAGGTGGAAGAAATGGAGAGATGCTGGTCAAAGGATACACACTTTCAGTGATAAGTTCTGGGGACCTAATATAGAGCATAATGACTATCATTAATAATACTCTCTTGTATACTTGTAGATTTCTGAGAGTAGAAATTCAGTGTTTTCACCACACACCCAAAGGTAGCTATGTAAGGTGATAGATATGTTAACAAGCTTGATGATAATAATTTCACATTTTAAATGCATATTAAGTCATTGCCTTGTATACCTGAAAAATATATTATCTTTATTTTTCAATTATACTTCAATAAAACTAAGAAACATATATATATATATATGTATGTTAACACACACAAATTAGATAATGAATGTAATAAAATAAATTCTTCTTTATTATTAAAAACATCATGGGATAATATCAGGTTATTTTTTCCTAATTAATTTAAATACAGAGGGAAGAAGGTGTGCCCAAACCAGCAATTTGTCTGCCCTCGATTTAGAGAAAAGTAAGAAGAGATTAGCTAGGGGAGCTCCCTTTTTCAGATATTAAGCACTGTACTATTTGATGTCATACAATCATTTGAACATCAATGACATGAATAGTAGCCACTGGCAAGCAAAATCAGCTAAAAAGCAGCTTTGCTTTGAATCCAAATCTCAAGCTTAATCTTATCTCCTGGAAGTTCTATAGTTAAATTATCTCTGAAGATATATTATTGAATAAGGAAGCTACTTAAATTAAAAATTATTGTCTTATATCTTTAATAAGCTTCAGCTCTTGGGTGCTCTTACTACTCAAATATTTGTCAACCATAGCCATTGCTTTTATTCTTACATTTGTGTATATTTTCTAATAGTATTTTTCCATCACTGACATCATTGGGCATCTTAAAATAAAGTGTCAACAAGGGTCTGTGATTGAGCTTTATAAATAAATTTCTGTTATTGAATGTGCAATTAAAAATCAAGATGTTAATTGAAGGTCAGAAAATTGCTTATAAGGAACAGAATTAGAAATTCTAATTGTAATATTGAATAAAAGAAGTTGAGAAAAAGGAGACAGTCACTATAGATTATTGCTCTCATTTATATATAATGGTGGAGATATTTTCCAAACTTCCCACTCTGGAGTAGCTTATCAGTGATAGAGTTTAGTGAGGTGGATGAAGGTTTGGAAAGGTACCACTGCCCATTCAATGTTTTTGAAGTAATCTCTTTTCTTGGCTTCATTGATCTGAAATTTCTTGGCCTTTCTCTTATTTACCTCAACACTTCTTCACAGACTCTTTTGTAAATTAATCCCAAATATGTTTAGAATTCCCAAGACCTAGGCCTAGGCCCATTTACCTCATATTCTAGTTTTCTAGATAATTTCATGAACTCACATAAGTTCAATTGTCTTGCCCAATATAAGTTGATAAATGTGTTCAATCAATGAAATTATTACTTACTCTAGTATTTAAACTAACCATGTTTGTTGGCTTTTAGTGATTTTAGGTGTACAAATTTTGAGAATATCTGTATATTATTTATAGAAATTTAATTGTTATTTCAGTTGTTCATATACTATTATATCACCTATTAATTCTAGAGATGAATTTTTTATTATTTCAGTATGATGTTAGATTAATATTTTCTATTTGATTAAAATACTTTCACATTTCTTATCTGGAGTTTATATGTTTTTTTTTTTTGTCTTTGTTTTTTTGTGCCAGGTGGTTGTGAGAGCTTTGCTAAAAACAACTTTACCTACTTTGAATGTGTTTCTCGTCTGCCTGATGATCTGGCTGACTTTTAGCATCATGGGAGTATACTTATTTGCTGGCACTTTCTATAGCTGCATTGACACAACAAGTAGAGAAATACTTTCTGTAACCCAAGTCATGAATAAGAGTGAATGTGAAAATCTTGTAGCAGCTAATAAATCCATCAAATGGGAGAACACAATAATGAATTTTGATAATGTTGGCAACAGTTTCCTTTCATTGCTTCAAGTAGTAAGTTCACTTATATCTTTTTAATTATATGTCCATCCATATTGTAAGTGAGCCTAAAGGAAAAAGGTGAATGATTAATAGAGTGGGTTATAAAATATTTTAGCAATTGTGAAATACAAGATACATGTTGTGGAAACTACCATAGTAGTCTAATTTGGAGAGACAAAAGTGAAATACAGCCTCTGCTCTATTGGGAGAAGGAAGGGAAATGAAGGTGAGATTAACAGAGGAAATGGCAAGTACTAGTCAAACATATATCCCTTGTCACTGATCAGGTAATAGATTCACACTTCTTTGTTCTGAGAGTACCAAACAGTAGGTTACTACTGCTTTTTTTTTTGTACTTAATATAGCAATTACATATATATATATAGCAATTATAAATGTTATGCTCAGACAGCATGTATTTATTTACCTCTATAGAACCTTAAATTATTTTTGAAGTTATTAACAATTAAGCTAAGAAGTTGTTAACAGACAACATAAATATACTAACGAAAATGGCGATGATCTCAGTTACACAGTATATTGAATATGGCCAGCCTTACTAATCAAATATTTTAGTATAATAATTATAGCTTTACATTTTATTTACCACGAAGTGTAATATTTCCATAAGATTTAAAGACGTGCCATTTTTTACAGGCAACATTTAATGGATGGATGGATATTATGTATGCAGCAGTTGATTCTGTTGGTGTAAGTACAATATACTCTTAGAGCCTTTGTTAAGATTCAAGCAAAGTCATTTTTTTCCATTTTTATTGAGAAATTGACCCACATCACTGTGTAAATTTTAGGTTTATTACATAATGGTTTATGTATATTGTGAAAGAATTGCCACATTAGGTTCAGCTAACACCTATTTTTTCATATATATAAAATAACAAGAAAAAAGAAAAGAATAAAAGGAATTTTTTTCTCTTTGTGATGAGAATAAAACACTGAATTTACTCTCTCTATATATCATACAATAGTATTAGCTAGAGTCATCATCTATAATATGGTGTACATTATTTATTATTTATTTATTAGCTATTTATCTTATAACTGAAAATTTCTACCTTTGACCACCTTTCTCTATTTTCCCCTCCTCCTACCCTGAACCCCTGGTAACCATGAGTCTGATTTCTTTTTATGTTAGTTTGGTTTTGATATTATTTTGTTTTGATTTTATATCCCACCTATTACTGAGATCATACAGTATTTTTTTTTCTTTGCCTGACTTTTTTAGCTTGGCATAATGCCTTCAAGGTCCATCCATGTTGATGCAAATGGTAGCATTTCCTCCTTTTTATTACTGAATAATATTCCATTTTACACACACACACACACACACACAGAGTAACTTCTTTTTCTATTCACCCCACTGATGAACATTTAAATTTCTTCCATGTCTTAGGCTATTACAGATAATGCTGTTATGAACATGGAGGTGCAGATAACTTTTTGAGTTAGTGTTTCATTTCCTTTGAACTATTTCCGGAAGCTGAATTTCTGGATAGTTGGTAGTTCTATTTGGTAGTTCTATATTTAATTTCTTTTTTTTTTTTAATAGAGGCATGCTTTATTTATTTGTTTGCTGGTTTGTTTGTTTTGTTTATACATGCACTGGGTACAGTCAGAAGCGCGGGAGGGTGAGAGAATTCACCAGAGCCAGAGCGGGGAGCAGAGCAGGCAGAAGGACTGAAGTACACTGCTGAGGGGAACAGCGGGCTGCAGGAGAGGTCTGCGCGCCATGTGGGACCCTCCGCCGGTGGCCGGGGAGCAGCCGGGGATCGAACCTGCACCGCAGAGGCCGCGGGCAGCTTCGCAACCCAGCGCTCAACCGCTGCGCCACCGGGGAGGCCTATATTTAATTTCTTGAAGGATCCTCCATATTGTTTTTATACTGGCTGAACCAGTTTATAATCCCATCAACAGTGCACAAAGATTCAGTTTTCTCCACACCTTTAGTAACATTTATTATTGCTCATCTTTTTGATGATGGCTATTCTAACAAGTATGAGGTGACATTTTGTTGTGCCTTTAATTTGCGTCTCCCTAATAACTAGTGATGTTAAGTATCTTTTTGTGTACTATTGGTCTTTTATATATCTTCTTTGAAAAAATGGCTGTTCAGTTCCTTTGGCCAATTTTAATTGGGTTATTTGTTTCTCTGTTGTTGAATTGTTTTTATATCTTTTGGATATTAACCTTTTATCAAATACATACTTTGAAAATATTTTTCCCATTTCATATTGTCTTTTCACTATGTTGATGATTTATTTTGCTATGCGGAAGCTTTTTAGTTCAATGTAGTACTACTTGCTTATTTTTTATTCTGTTGCTGTGCTTAAGGTGTCCTATTCAAAAAATCATTACCATGACCCATATCAAAGGACTTTATTCCTGTTTTCTTCTAGGAGTTTCTTGGTTTCAGCTCTTACATTTATGTCTTTAATCTACTTCAAGCTAAAACTTTTCTTATGGGATAACATTGGTTTACAATACTGTGTATGATTTAGAAGTGTAGGATCAGCCTTCCAGGTGCTGTTACCACACCACATGAACAACCAAAAACACTCATAGTGTTCCTCCCCATTTGCTCTACTCTTCATCCCCCTTTTCTCTGGTAGACTAAGTTCTAACACCATCTTTCTGACTTATTTCACTTAGCATAATACCCTCCAGTTCCACCCATGTTGTTGCAAAAGGACAGGAGTTTATCTTTTTGTATAGCAAATAACAAAAAATAGGCAAAAGAGCTAAATAGACACTCTTCCAAAAAAGACATACAGATGAGCAACAGGGAAATGAAAAAATACACTCATCACCATTGTCATCAGGAAATAAAATAAAATCAAAACCACAATGTAGACTGGTCCAGACTCTATGGAAAAACCATTATGGAGAGTTCTCAAAACATTAAAAAATGGATCACCATATGATCCAGTAATTCCACTCTGAGGTGTCTATCCAAAGAATATAAAAACATTAATTCAAAGGGATAGAGGCAGCACTATGTTCTTTGCAACACTATTTACTATAACCAAGCTATGGAAAAAACCTAAGAACCTACAGTCAGTTTAGTGGATTAGGAAGATGTGGTATGGAATACTATTCAGCTGTAAAAAAAAAAAAAAAAAAAGCTCAACCTAGTTTTTGTGAATAGTATGAGATATGGGTCTAGCATTCTTTTACGTGTGAATACCTAAGTATCTCTGCATCATTTATTGAAGAGTCTGTCTTTTATTGACTCCCTTGTCAAATATCAGTTGACTGTTTATGCTTGTATTTGTTTTTGGGCTCTTGATTCTGTTCCATTGATCTGTTTCCCCATTTTTATGTCAGTACCATACTGTTTAGATGACTATAGCATTAACTTTATAGAATAGCTTGAAATCAGGACATTTCATGCCTCCTGAATTGTCCTTATTATTTCTTTGGTCAAGGAAAGTCATTTTTACAATTCAACAACACGATACCAGCAGTAACTACATAATTAACATGATAAAAACAAATGCAATGGAAGACTGTAATTATATACATTTCTGATTGAGCATTTCATGGACAATGAAATCCTTCCAGGATTATATACAATGACAGAACCCAAACGGGCCCATTTAAAGCATTACTAGACTTATAAAAAAAAGATTAAACTAATCTAATAAACTTTAAAATCCAAATAAGTAAAGCAATACTCTCTCTTCACCAAAGAGCAAAAAGAAAATAAAACCTCAGTTAGATTTGTTGGATTTTCCAATCATTCCTATTTTTATTAAATCCTGTATTTTTAAAAGTCAGTATCAATATTTTGCTTATTTTTCACTTCAAAATTTTTATTTGTAGACACTATTTTTAGAGCTGTTTTAAGTTTAAAACAAAATAGAGAGGAAAGTACAAAGATTTTCGATATCCCCCTGGCCTCACAGTGCAGAGTCCTCCATTATTAACATCACTCATTAGAAAGGTACATTTCTTTTAAACCAAGTATGAACGGACATTACACATCATAATCACAAGAAGTCCATAGTTTACCTTAGGGGGTCTTTGGTGTTGTACATTCTGTGAGTTTGGACAAATGCATTATGGCATATATGTAGCATCATACTGTCATAGAGAATATTTCACTGCCTTGAAAATCCTCTATGCTGTGCTGTAATTTGCTTATTTTTTTAACAACTTTTAGATAAGCAGGCAACCTCGTTTTGAAGATAACAGCTACATGTATTGTTACTTTATCAACTTCATTATCATTGGATTATTTCTCCCTTTGAGCATGCTGATTGGTGCTATCGTTTCTAATTTTAACAAGCATAAAATAAAGATAAGTATGATTATTCTTTTTTCATCAATGCCTGAGATAATCAAGCACATTTGTAAAATGTCCTGCTTCAAATAATTAATTTGGATTCAGCTGGATGACATTTTTATTTGGTATTTATCGAAAATAATTATTGATGTTTCTACATATATATGAATGCCACTAAAATGTCTAAATTCTCATTGTTTTTCATATTTAAATGTAGAAATTAAAAAATACAAATGTTTCTGTATTTATCCTTGTAAATAATGAGGTACTAAAGAATAATCTGCACAAACATTTGAATTTCAAGGAAAAGAAACCATACTTTTTTACTCTGATATATTCAAAGCCTTCAAAGTCATAACCAACATAGTCTTCTCTATCATTTGAAGTAGCTTTTTCTGCCTGAAGTAGAGAAATTCATAAATTCTATTTGGATGGCCAAAATAAGAATGTTTGAGAAGAATAAATAAAAATCCAGTAAAATTTTTTGGTATTTGGTGTCATCTCCATGTAGACTCCCATCAGGGCTTCTACAAATGTAAAGCCTTAAAAAAAGTGTGAATTTGTTTTAGTCAGAAGCATCTTTCTATTAGGTGTAGCAAAGCCTTCTGAGAAATCAAAGAGAAGAATAGTTTAATTTTTGAATTCTATTTATAGCATTGTCATCAAAGTTTAGTCATGTACAAAATCTGGTAAACAAACCATACTGAGTCTACACTAATCAGGTGAGATTAGAGAAATCAGTGATCAAATATGCTTTTGATTGGATGCTTCTGCTTCCTAACGACTTAAACTATTAATAGATGGAATAACATTGTAGTATTTGCTTGTGGGCTTCAAATTGGTGACCCCTGTGAATACTAAGAGATGAACTCTTGAATAGGGAAGTAAGTATTCCTAAATCCTAGATTAATACAGCATTAAATATTCACCTTTTATTCACTTCATCTATTTTGTATAAGATACTGAGCACTAAAAACATAAAAATGAATAAACCTTAGAAAGTAATATGAAGAAGCATAATATTCATAAAAATTATCCTCCAATACATTTTGAAAATAAAGCAATATATAAACATCAAAATTGCATATATGACCAATTATATCTTTCCAACTTATTAAAGCAGCTGTACCTTAGCTTTTCAGTGTAACCTTTCTTCATAAATTTTTCCCACTGTTTCTCCTTTGCCTCTCTTTAACAAGGGGTTGTCCTTAGGATAAAAAGTTAAAATAAAGATTTATCACACAGAGAAAAATGCATAAAAATTAATTACCAGTTTATGTTCTATGCTTTCTATGTGGATTTTAGTACAGGAAGTCAGACATGCTCAAATGTAATTTTGTTGCTTGATTTCATTGCAGTTAAGCCTCTTTTTACAAAGATTAAATCAATTTTTTTCACAATGCATATTAATATAAAGTGAAATTTGTGTTTTATGTGATCTTTTTCTTTTATATATTTACCAAGGAGGCTCAAATTTCTTTATAACAGCACAACAGAAGAAACAATACCGTGCACTGAAGAGACTAATGTATGAGGACTCTCAAAAACCAGTACCTCGCCCAAGAGTAAGAAAACATTTGGTTTTTTTTTAAGTTTCAAAAAGTTATTTTTCATGTTCTCTCTTAAAAATGAAAATGTGTTTTTAAATCCTTAACAAGTTTTTAAAATTTTATGTTTCCTGACAAAGCTTTTGAAGCTCTTGTTTGTTTATTTTTACTGTTAGCTAATATTTAATTATAGTTTGGTAAAACCTTACACATTCACTTACACTTCTGTTTATTCTGGGAAGTGGTCGAAAATCTAAATGTGTGTGTGTGTGTGTGTGTGTGTGTGTGTGTGCGCGCGCGCTCGCAAGCATGCCTGTTTATTTGTGTATCTTATTAATGAGACAACTATGTATGTTTTCTTCTCCACAGAACAAGTTCCAAGGATTGATCTATGATTTGGTAACAAGTCAAGTTTTTAATATCATCGTTATGATTCTTATCTGTTGTCAAGCAATACCCATTATGCTACAAAGTGACGAACAGAGTTCAAACATGGACATTGCTCTCTACTGGTTTAACTTAATCTTAGTTATACTATACACTGGAGAATGTGTACTGAAGCTCATCGCTTTCCGCTGTTACTATTTCACCATCGGATGGAACGTTTTTGATTTTATGGTAGTCATTTTCTCTATTACAGGTAAGAACTTATTTATTCAGATTTTCATTTATAGTATAGGAACCAGGCAAACTCTTATAGTACATATCTTCTGAGATGAAGTATCAAGAAGCAAACAGGTAGGTACCCTTTTTATTTCCAATAGGAATGCCTCACATTTTTTAATTCATGCATGTATATATCCCTGAAAGATAAAATATTTAAGTATTCCTTGCATTTATTGCATAGACTTGACTTTACAGCCTACCAGGTAAATACTTAATTGCCCTTTCAAGTATATCACAGATGTTATTTTTCCAGGATGACACTCTTATCTTTATATAGCCTCTCATGCTCACCATAATTCTCTTCCCTCTAATTTCTAAAGGCATTTGCAAAGTTCATAATACCAAAATTCTAGATTTTAATGAATTTGTCACTAGTTTTCCTCTGGAGATCTCAGTCTTACATTTAACAAATACATTTGATTTGTTAAATGTATAAATATTTTATATACAAATGTAAATAAATATTATTTATTTATTTTATTATTTTATGTACAAACAATTCAGTAGTAAACAAAACAGGCATAACTCATGTCTAATCAACATCTATAATTGATTAAGGAATACAATTAGCTAGACAGTTTATTTTACTGCAGTGCCATTAATATTTTATGACAAGGGAAGAAGCACAAGGTGCTGCAGCAGCACAATAAAGTGAGGAATAATTAATCAGTAAGTAGAGGTCAAAGAAAACTTCATGGAAGAAACAAAAATCTAAACAGTTTGGATAAGGAGGTAACCAAGTAAAGAATCTAGGATAAAAGTATATTATACAGCTATAAGTTTATTTTCTTCCTCCTTGTAAGATATATGCTAGAATGTAAGTTCCATGAGATTTGAGACAATATTCAAATGTTTATGGATAAAGAAATAGTGGAATATATACTCAATGGAATACTATGCAGCTATTAAAAAGGTGAAATAGTGCCTTCCGGGACAAAGTGTATAGATCTTGAAGTGACTGCTAAGTGAAATAAGTCAGAATGTGAAAGACAGATAGTTTCACTCATCTGTGGAATATAAGAAACCAAAGCTAACCAACTTGCAAAAAACAATAAAAATAACTCTTAGATTATGTGAAAAACATACTGGTTAGCAGAGGGGATGGTGTGTGGTGAGGAAAGGGGGTAAAGATGGTAAGGTGATAGCAAATTAGCCTCTGCAACTTTTGTGGAGAGTGAATGAATCAGGTACACACATGAAGATGTGAAGTACTCCTAATATTATATAGTTATGGAAACAACTAGAAAAATCAATAAAATTTGAATAAAAATATTTAAGTATTTATAGTGTCAAGCACTATTCTATATAGTCAATAATAAAAAATGTAGGTAGACTGCTTGACTGTGCTTTCAGAAATTTACTCAATTTTAGTTAAAGCAGTGCAACTATATATAGGTAAGCACAAGAAGCATAACAAAAAAAAGATTTTTAAAAAAAGGAGGAGACCGATAAGAAGAAAACATAAGAATTAAAAAACCCTATGAGATTGAAGTAAAAATTACTGAATCAGAGGTCTAAAAGAAAAGAAATTTGTAAAAGCTATTTTAATTTGAGATCTCTGAAGATCAGATATCCTTGGTCCTAGAATATGGCCATTAATATGTATGATTAAAGCAACATGATGGAGATTATTAAAGTTAAGAAAGTAGAAGACTGAGAGACTGGCATTTGAATGGATTGTTAATATAAGTGCTGGGGGGCCTCCCTGGTGGCGCAGCAGTTGAGCGCTGGGTTGCCGAGCTGCCTGCAGCCTCTGCAGCACCAGTTCTATCCCCGGCCGCTGGCAAGGGTCCCACATGGTATGCAGACCTCTCCAGCCACACCTGCTGCTCCCCTCAGCAGTGTACTTCATCAGTCTGGCTGCTCTGCTCTCCACTCTGGCTCTGGTGAATTCTCTCACTCTCCTGCGCTTCTGACTGTACCCAGTGCTTGTATAAATAAATAAATAAATCTTTAAAAAAAAAAAAGTGCTGGGGTTGATGGAAATAGTGAACCAAGAACTAGTTTTCAAAGAATATGAATGAGAGGGAACAAAACAAATGGATCACAGAGCAAAGGAATGGTAGGAGATGATGTAGTTGAATTACATGATCCACAATGTGTCAGAAAGTTTTCTTTTTTCTTTATAAAAATGATGAGAAGGAAAAGTACCTGGAAATCACAATGGAAAGAAAGATGCATGCTTACTCCATCATTCTACCCTGTGAAAGATGGAGTAAGTGGTAAAGAATCAACTGTATATACTTGAGAATGTTTTGGACCATGTTTTCTTCCCCCTACTCCCTCAGATTGAGTCCCCATAGAATTTCCTTCCCGAAGGCACCCGTGCACCATCACCACAGTCCCCCGTGCTCCTCCCTGCCTCCCTCTCATCCCTCTCCCTCCTCCTCCCCTCCTTAATGTCTCTGGCTTGTAATTATCTGTTTTTGCTTTGTTGTGTTTTGTACTGTTGTTATTATTTTTTTACACTGATGTCTTATTTGGTTCCCCTATGTTCCTGCTATAAGTGAAGCCATCCAATATTTTTCTTTTTCCTTCTGGCTTATTTCACTGAGCATAATTCCTTCTAGTTCCATCCATGTTGCTGTGAATGGCATGAGCTTATCTTTTTTGATTGCTGAATAATATTCCATTGTGTATATTTGCCACATATTCTTTTTCTCTTTTTATTTAAATATTTTATTTTATGTAATTCTTACATCTTTTTTCATCTTTGTTCAATGTATGCATTTTCGTTTTGGTTATATTCCCCATACAATTGTACCCCACCCCCTTATTTTGACACTAGTCCTTCCTTTCCCCGCCACTCCCCCTTCCCCCACCCCCGGCCCCGTAGTGTGTCTCTGGTTTATAGTTGCTTGTTGATTTTGATTTTTACTTTATTATAATTAGTCTTTTTCCTGGTCTCTTATTTAGGTTTTCTAAATTCCTGCTATGAGTGAGAACATCCAGTATTTTTATTTTTCTTTCTGACTTATTTCGCTCTGCATGATCCCTTTTAGCTCCATCCATGTTGCTGCAAACTGCGTGTGTTTATCTTTTTTGATTGCTGAGTAATATTTCATTGTGTATATGTACCACATCTTCTTGATCCAGTCATTTATTTTGGGCATTTGGGTTGCTTCCATAGCTTAGCTATTGTAAATAGTGCTGCTATAAACATAGGGGTGCAGGTGCCCTTTGGAATTACTGTTTCTGTGTCATTTGGGTAAATACCTAGCAGTGGAATTGCTGGATCATATGGAAACTTTATGTTTATATACCACATATTCTTGATCCAGTCATCTATTTTTGGGCATTTGGGCTATTTCCAGGTTTTACCTATTGTTGCTTGAGAATGTTTTAAAGAAGATGTCCTTAAGGTAGAGTCAAGTTTTAGACAGTGAAGGTTATGAAGAAAATTTAATGAGGATGTAGAAAATTTTGTTTACAATTAAATGGGGATACTTTCTGCATCTTAGTAGCATTAGGAAAATTGAGGAGAAAATTTGAGTCAGAGTAGAAAGTTCACCAAAAACACCATGGAGATATGGATATAGGTAAGCTGGAAAGTCAGAGACACTGAGAGCATTGACATTGATTAAATTTGCTAGAAATGTGAAACAAGATCTTCCAAATTTAGCAAGCATATCATCTCATTTAAAAGCTTCCTGGAAATCTCTCCTTCCCTACCTTCTCAATTCAAAATGAATCACACCCAATCCTGTTCTTCCAGGGAACATCCCTTATGCTTTGTATGGTAATTATAATTTACCTTGTTTTATAGTTATATCTCTCACTCCCATAGTTTCTTCATTAATCTGTCACTACCAGAAATAATTTCTAGGCACAGATTCATTTATTCAGTTCACATTTAAAGCTCCTGTGAGCCCAAATACTGTTTGTGAAAGAAAGTATAATTCGTGAATCACTGAATACCAGATATTTTGAAATTATATTTATCAACTAGGTCTTTCTAGCTTGCATTGTAATTAGTTTAAATATCTACCTACATATTTAGACTATATGGTGTTTGAGAACAGAAGTTTTGTGATTCATCTTTGCATATTTTGCATGACACAGTTATTAGGTATCTGATAAAGGTTGGATTGAACTAAATTTCTTTTTTTTAATATTTTTTATTTATATATTTTTTACCTCAGTGTTCATTTTTAAACAATGTTTGCTTTCTACTGCCCCCCCCACACACACAGGTATATTCCCCTTAGAATTTCCTTCACCAATGCACCCATGCACCATCACCACAGTCTGCTGTGTTCCTCCCTCCCTCCCTCTGATCCCTCTCCATCCTACTCCCCTGCAGGATGTCTCCAGTTTATAATTGGCTGTTTGTTTTTGTTTTGTTGTGTTGTGTTTTGTACTGTTATTATTTTTTAATTATTTTCCCCCCGATATCTTTTTTTTAAAGATTTATTTATTTATTTATTTATTTATTTATACAAGCACTGGGTACAGTCAGAAGTGCGGGAGGGTGAGCGGATTCACCAGAGCCAGAGCGGGGCATAGAACAGGCAGAAGGACCAAAGTACACTGCTGAGGGGAGCAGCGGGCGCGGCAGAAGAGGTCTGCGCGCCATGTGGGACCTTCGCCCAGCGGCCGGGGATTGAACCGGCACTGCAGAGGCTGCGGACAGCCCTCCCCCTGATATTTTGATGCAACTGCAACTGAAAGAAAAACATGACTACCCACTTATGTCATGGATTCATGCCATCTGTGATTCAGAAATACTTGAACTGTATTATTCTTAGGAGGATAGCACAAGAATTCTCTTCTAAATTTTGTTAGATACTCTAAAAATTGCTACAATTAGTATTTGGCTAAACCAAACTTCCAATATGGTCTGACTGTTATATGAAAAAGATTAAGATGATCTTAACATATAGAAAAAAGAACAAAATATAATGCAATGTCTATTTCTGTAATTATATTTGAATAACTTTATTGCATTTTTTACATTTTCTCACACCAAGGAATATTTCTGCCAATGATGGTAGGATCCTACCTTGTGCCTCCTTTCCTTATGCAAGTGATACGTCTCTTAAGGATCATCCACATCCTACGTCCTGGGAAAGGACCAAAGGTGTTCCATGATCTGATGCTCCCTTTGATGCTGTCCCTTCCAGCATTGTTGAATATCAGCTTGCTCATCTTTCTGATCATGTTTGTCTATGCTATCTGTGGAATGTACAATTTTGCCTATGTTAAAAAGGAAGCTGGAATTAACGATGTGTCCAACTTTGAAACCTTTGGCAGTAGTTTACTATGTCTTTTCCAAGTTACAATATTTGCAGGTTGGGATGGGATGCTCTTAGCAATTTTCAACAGTAAATGGTCTGGCTGTGATCCTAATAAAATTAACCCTGGGACTCAGGTTAGAGGAGATTGTGGTAACCCCTTAGTTGGGATTATTTATTTTGTCAGTTATATCCTCATCTCATGGATGATCATTGTAAATATGTACATCATTGTTTTCCTAGAGTTTTTAAATATTGCCTCTAAAAAAAAAGCCAAGTCACTGAGTGAAGATGATTTTAGGAAATTCTTTCAGATATGGAAGAGGTTTGATCCTGATAGGACCCAGTACATAGATTCTAGCAAGCTTTCAGATTTTGCAGCTGCTCTTGATCCTCCTCTTTTCATGGCAAAACCAAACAAGGGCCAACTCCTTGCCATGGATCTTCCTATGGCTGTTGGAGACAGGATTCACTGCCTTGATATCTTACTTGCTTTTACAAAGCGAGTTATGGGTAAAGATGGTAGGATGGAGAAAGTCCTTTCAGAAATAGAATCTGGGTTTGTGTTAGCCAACCCTTTTAAGATCACATACGAACCAATTACAACTACTTTGAAGCGAAAACAAGAGGCAGTCTCAGCCACTATCATTCAGCGTGCTTATAAAAATTATCGCTTGAGACAGAATGACAAAAACACATCAGATATTCATATAATAGATAGTGACAGGGAAGTTCAAACTGCCAAAGAAGATGCCTATTTTCATAAAGTTGAGGAAAATGCAGCTATTCGAAGTAAGATCTAATCCACTTACCACATTTCCACTTTCTTCACATATCCCAAAATATTTAAAGTTTAAATGACAAAGCAAAGATCAGAGAAAATAAAGATCTCACTTAATTGTTTATAACCAATGGAAGTTTATATTTTTAAGAATCCATGTCAGATTTACTTTTTACCCCTGTATATTCAATCTAACCAAGACAAATTTAGTCCAACCAAGACAAATCCGTAGTATCCCTGCACCGAATCAGAGTAGGCTAAAATTGCCAGTTTGATAATCCAGGGCTTTTCTCTCTGTGGTTTATATAGTTTTTGCCTCTTCTTGAGAATGGGGAGGTGGTGATAGAGCTTGAAAAAGGGGACTTCCTGACATATTTTCTGTCATCTTTTACTTAAAGGAGTCAAGTCACACTAATAGGATGTCATTACAAATTAACAAGTACTTTGTTATTGTGAGATGATGTTAATTAAAAAAAAGTGCAGTACTACAGACCACTCAGTCATAAACTTGCCAAGACAGATACCAATTCGAGGAAGTGAAGGGCACTTCTTAAAAAGGGGCCTCTGAGATCAGTCACAGAGATTCTTGGGCTGATTCAAACCCAAGGTTTGAAAAAGATAGGAACCCTGTTTTTGTTTTTTCTTGGGGTATTTTTTTTTTTTTGGTACAGGAAATTAATGTCGATTGCCTTCCTGGCTCCTCTTCTCTTTGACTTGTTTCACAAAAGCTCCAGCTCTTTAACAGGATCGATACTTAGAACAAGAAGCATAAAGGGAACTATAGCTCTGACTACATTTTCCTCACTTACGGATTAAAAAAAGTTTACATTTACTAAAATGATATTATAATACAGATTGTTTAACTCAAGTTTTACCTTATTATAAAAGTTAGTGTATTTTTACCAATTATCCATAATTTAACATTGAGTTCTGGCAAGTGCATGTCATGGTATGAATTAGAAGAGTCAAGGGCTGCCATAATCTCTAGGGTTTTTCCAGTGTCTTGATCCTTATTTGGAAAACTGGGCACTTTGAAGTACTTTTCACTATACTTTATGGTCCTTTATAATTTAGAAAAAGAAAATTGTCACTCAAACTTGAGGGCTGTGAATTAAGAAATAGAAGTGAAGGTTTGGTGGTGATATTTTGTTTTTATATCTTAAAAATTATTTTGTAAATTGTTTTATGCTTGAAAAACTTAAAAATCCTAAACATTGTCACTATTGAAATTATTTTTAAAAGATACAAACAAATTGTTGGGTTTTTACTTATTCATAAAAATTCAGTCACCTATATCCTTGTAATTTGAAATTCTGATATTTATTCCATTTGTATGAAGATTGAGTTCAATGTGCCTAAAAGTCCTAAAGGATTCAATAAAGAAAACATGCATTATATACTTCATTGACAAGCTTTAAATATGTTGTACAGCTTTCAATATCACTTAAATATCAGCAATTGTATTTTATTATGAATGCATGATCTTAAGCCTTAACATTATAATCTAACAATTTCTGCTTCTCAGAAATTTATTAACCCAACCAAGATGCCTTTGGGGGATCCCCCTAAGCACATGTAAGTTCAGGTTTTGTTTCTTTCTGTGAGTGTTCCTTCCCCTTCTCCTCCCATTCTCCATCACATGATGAAGACAGGTGGAGGAAGCAGTGTTAACTTGGTGGCATGGGGACAGCTGGTGCTTTAACAAAGCTTCTCAGTTTTCTATTACTTGGAAACATTTTAATGTAGAGACTGCTTACTATGCTTAAATTGAATAATAACTTGCTTTTGTAAATTCTATGAAATCTGTGTACTTATTTTAGTTGAAAATTATAGCTTTTACTTGTAAGCCATGTTTGCCATTATCCTTCCAAAAACTGTAAAAATTATTTTTAACAAAGCCTTACAATATATTCTACTTTTTAAATATTCTAAAAAATAATAAATATGACCTGTTAACCACAGTAAGTGTCATTGTTTTGTTTTTTTTTTCCCCATTGATTAGTTAGGTTTGCAGCTTGTATAAGAAGAGCCTTTAAAACTGAGCTTTCTTCAGGCTCAAAATTTAAAACTGGCAACACTTATGCTTCATTTTATTTTGTAAAAAAACAAAGTTAGTGAGCTAACCAGAAACCCCTACACAGTGACATGTGAAAAACACTCCTCTTATCAAATCATTATGTTGTTTACTAGATATAGCTCAATAATATTAGTATTTGCTTTCTGGAAAATAATGCTAAAGTTAAATTTATTGGTATGCTACTATTTATCAATTTTTACTTCCTTAAAATTTTTCTGATTCTCGCTATAAGTAAGACCATCTGGTATTTTTCCTTTTCTTTCTGGCTTATTTTGCTGAGCATGATCCCTTCCAGCTCCATCCATGTTGCTGCAAATGGCATGAGTTTATCTTTTTGATTGCTGAGTAATATTCCATTGCATATATCTTGATCCAGTCATCTATTTTTAGGCATTTGGGTTGTTTCCATAGCTTAGCTATTGTAAATAGTGCTGTCATAAACATAGGGTCCCAGACATGTTTTATATTGTCCTTTAATTCTTGAATCAGTTCATTCTTGAACTGTTCCTTGCCATAAATTCCAGGTCTTCATTCTCAAATCTTAAATCTAACAGTCAATAACAGAGCTCCATAAGTTCAGAGCTCCAGTTAATTATTGAGTTTTGCCTGCACAGGTGGGCATTTTTTTATCTATATGTTCAAAAACCTAAAACTTTCAGTGTAGAACTCATTTCTCTCTGTAGGTGAATCTCTCTCTTCATTGACTTCAAAAATCACATATTCGCTAAAAGACTTTTCTCTCAATATGAGTTCTAGGTTCTATCAGCCATCCATGGGGCACAACACCCTTTTGTCTGGATTCTAGTCCAGACAACATAAAAGTAACACCTTCAAATGACCCATAAATTTAGGGTTCCTATTCATGTAAAATGTCATTACCATTCCTCTCTTCCTTTCTCCCTTCCATCTTTTCATAAAATTGTTGAGCACTCCTAGGTATTAGACATAGCAATTTAGAGAGAAATAAGATTGTCTTTTATCCTTAAAAAGTATTAATCATGGTTCTCCAGAACTAATAACAGACTGATAGGTACATAGATAAGTACAAAGATACATTGACAGATACCTAGGTGGGTAGGTAGATATAGAGATTCACAGATGGATACAAGAAAATTTATTATGGAAATTGGGTCACAAGATTATGGAGGATAAACTATGCCACTACATGTCATCAGGAAAACTGGTGGTATAATTCAGTCCAAGTTGTAAGGCCTAAGAACCAGGGTGGTCATGATGAAACTACCAGTCTAAGACCAAAGACCTAAGAAGGGGAAGAGAGGCACCCCAACCATAATTGTGGATTTGTCTATTTTTCTTTTCAGCACTATCAGATTTTTTAATATATTTTGAATTTCTGCCATTTGAATTTCAGATATTTGCTGCCATATTATGATTTACAGGATGACCAAAATATGTTTATGAAACATATTTAGTCTATATTACAGTTCCTGGCTCACAACTCCCAAAAGCTTAGAATTTCTTAAGCAATAACAGTGTCATTTGTTATGTTAATGAGGTGACATTTGGAGTAGCAGCTGAGTAAGCTGTTGGTTGCCAGAGGAACCAACCAAGTGATTAAAAGGTTGGAACTTCCCCTTCCCCATCCTGACATCCAGTGAGGGGGAGAGTGGCTTGAAGTTGAGTTCAATTGCCAATCACCAAAGAGTAAATCAATCATGCCTAGGTAATGAGACCTCATAAAAGCCCAGGTGGAAGAACTTTGGAGAGATTTCAGGTTTGTGGACATGTGGAGATTTGGGCACATTGGACTTCCTGGATAGGGTATGGAAGCTCCAAGTTTTCCCCTGTGTCTTACTCTATGCCTGTTCTCCATCTAGCTATCCCTCAGTTATATCCTTTGTAATAAATCAATAATCAAGTGAGTTAATGGATTTCTTGAGTTTTGTGTACCCTCTAGTAAATTAATCAAACCTCTGTTTGATAGTTGGTTGGTCCAAAACACAGATAATTATATGGGCATATGACTCTGCCCTGAAATCTAAGAAGAGGATCCCAGGGAGCTCTAGTGTATATCCAATTGGTCAAAAGCCCAGGTGGCAGCCTGGGCTTTTTGCCTGATGTCTGAATGAGAGACTGAGACTTGAGTCCTTAACCAGTGGAATCTGATGCTATTTCTGGGTAGCTAGTGCCAGAATTGAGTAGAATTCTTGTTTTGGGTTTTTTTTTTTTAAAGATTTATTTATGCAGAGGCCTCCCTGGTGGCGCAGGGGATGAGAAGTAACCCGTGAAGCAGTCCGAAGCCACTGCAGCATGAGTTCAATTCCTGGCCAGCCAGAGAGCAACCCACATGATGCAGCAGACCTCTCCTGACTCACCGCTGCTCCCCTCAGCAGTGTACTTTGGTCAATCTGCCTGTTCTGTTCCCGGCTCTGTCTCTGGTGAATCCTCTCACCCCTCACACCTCTGGCCTGTACCCCAGCTCTGGTATGCAGAAATAAATAAATCTTTAAAAAAATTTATTTATGCATACAAGAATTGGGATAGAGGCCAGAGGTACAGGGGGTGAGAAGATTCACCAGGGACAGAGTGGGGAATAGAACAGTTGGATTAACTGAAACACACTGCTGAGAGGAGCAGCAGTAGATGAGACAGGAGAGGTCTGCTGTGCCATGTGGGTTAGCTCCCTGGCCAGGGATAGTTCTATGCAGATAGCTTCATAGTTCTGAGACTTAACCCCTTATACCACCAGGAGGCCCAAGTTGAATTCTTGGATACCCTTCTGGTGTCTGAGAATTATCTATTGGTGAGGGGAAAGTCTACGAACACCCACATTGTAAATGAGCTGTAGGGCACCATCAGTGCATTTAGGATTGTTATTTAGGATTGTTATTTTATCCTAGTGGGTGAATTCTTTATCAATTTGTAATGTATTTCTTTGTCTCTGGTAATTTTCTTTGCTCTGAAGCCTACTTTATCAGACATTAATACAGTCAATTTTTTTTTGGCTTTTGATTTAGGTTTGCCTGGTATATCTTTCGTCCTTTATTTTCAACACACGTGTCATTTAATTTGAAGAGGTTTTCTTATAGCAGCATACAAATGGGTTATGTTTTTTAATCCGTGTTTATAGACGTATTTATGCCATTTACATTGAAGGTAATTATTGATATGTTAGCAATAAAAAGTTGATATTTGTTTCCTCTGGTGTCATCTCTCTTATTTCTCTTTTCTTGCTTTCCTCCCAAATACTGAATATGTGTTAGGATATGAATTTGATTTTACTTATAGGGTTTGTGAATATTGTTGCTAGAGGTTTTTCTAAGTATTGCTCTAACTTCAAAGTTTTTAAATAAATCCACACCATAACAGCAATATCACGTTCTCTAGAGTTTAAGCCTAAATATTTTTTATAGGTAGTGCAATGGAGAGCATTGCAGTCTAACATGATATTCCATTATAATGCCTCTATGTTAATCATATAGGTACTATACTATGGACAGCAATTTTCAGCCCTACATTGCCTTTCAATGTTTAATCAGTACACATACCCCCAAGATTTCTAAACAATAATTGATTTAGAAATATTATAAACCCATAAAATAATGCAACACAAAGTAAGAGTGCCTTTTTGATTTGTCTGTTTGATTATTGTTTGATTATAATGCTGCTTCAGTATGTGAAAAAACTAACTTTGCTGAATTTTTTTAAACTGATCTCTCAAATATGCTTGATAGTTCTGATGAAGAAAAGTATTTGCTCTCTGAACTGAGTGAAAACCTCCTTTAGATCAAGGTGACATTCATAGAATAAGCAACCCTCAATAGTAACATGTTGATTAAAGGAGATTTGCTGATCTACTTTTCTTTTACGGCACAGAAAGTGATTCAGAATCATCTTTAAAAATGTCTATTTTTCTCCTGACCTTTAAATTATTAAATATATTGCCACGTCCTCACATTACTTTCTGCAGAAGAAAACACCACATCCTCCCAGTGCACACAAAGCTTCTACTGCAGTGCAACCCAACTAAAACCAATCAAGGTCTGGCGGGGATCTCTGTTGTTGCATTTGATGCACACAGGAAAGGTCTCATGAATAATGCATGATTATAAACAGGTGACCATAGCAAGATCTCATCACTTAATGCTCTTCCCAAACAAATCTGAGAAAGATAATTGGATACCTTCATTAGCAATTGATCTGTACAGGAAGAAATTGTGATTCAAAGCCTTGCAAGGCATCGATTGCATGTGCATTAGCTTGCACTGACCTGCATTATTTTCTCTAGAAAACCCAGGTAAATGTAGCTATATCCTGGAATCTAACATTAAACAGAAATGTGAAATGTCTTTAAGCCACAAGAATGAACATCCACAGCAATTCTTACACTGCAGTGTATGCCAGGAGCAGAAACAGCTTATCATGAGGCCACCTTATAACTAGGTGAGTGCTTGTGAGGTAGTGTCGAGTGCTGATGTGCTGTCAGTGGAACAGCTTATAGGATATAAATCCACTCTAGTTCATTTTCTTAATACCAATGGCAAGAAAAGTCAGGAGACTCTGGGCACCTTCTGGGAATAGCCATCATTAATCTCCAATATGATCATATTACTTCTTTATTATTTCAGATGAAAAAATAGTGGGAATTTTTTTTCTTTCCCAATTTCACAGACCATGTGTCAAACTTACAATATAAAAGCCTTTGTGCATTTTTCTCAAGTAACTAGAACTATCAGCATAATAGGCTACAGTGAATTGCTGCTGTTGATGTGCAAAGGGCAAATTGGCCAATGGCTATGTTACATACTGCAGCTGTAAGTCTCTTCCCTCTTTTATATAAATATTTACCAAAGAAGATTGAAATGTGGCAAATTATCCTACCTATCCCATGAATTAGTATTGTATGAAATATTTAT